CATTTCACTCCTCACTCATTCAACTCTCTTTAACCACGGATCGTAGCGAAGCTCTGCCAACTTAGGTAAGGTCGTAATACCTCATATGTATACGTTTAAATTACCGTGCTAGTTAGTAATACATGTTAGGATTGATCGTATATTAAACATTCCCATTATAATTAAAATCTGTGTCAGTATTATCATTATTTATTAAATTTTTTAATTCTAAGTTATTAAAATATTCTTAAGACTAACTACTTTACAAAGAAAGATTTTCGAATATTTTTCCAAAACATTAAAGTGGAGCGAGGTTGTTATTTCTGTTAATGTTGAGATGGGTACAAAACATTCTTATGTTTGTTTCAGGATTTGAAAAGAATTCTCACTCAAAACTCCTTTCCAAAACAAAAAAAAAACTATACAGAACATATTTTTTTAGGATCATACCCACGGAAAGAGGTGGCTATAGTTCATTCCCACGATAAAGGAATGATTTATTTCTTACAAAATAACTCTCTTACCCTCCCTTTCATTCAACATTCTTAATCGAGTTTATGGGTGAATATAATAAGTAGTGGGTAATGGTAGTGAAGAAGGAAAATTTGTTTGTTTTAATAGACACTTATGTCTTGTAATTAGACATTCTTGGGAGTAAGTTTGTAAGGTCACGTAAGAATGTTAAATAAAGGTATGATTGGGTTATCAAAAATATCCCTCTATGCATAACTTGGTTAAAAGCATATCATACTAACAGCAACAGGGACCACCATTTTCCTTTGGGAAAAATAAACGCTGCCACATTGTCCACAGACGCCTACGTGGTTCGTCCTTTTTGTCAATGTCATTTTGAATGTGGTATCTAACACCTTTCTCCTTTACTTTCCTCCCACATTATTATGTCACTCATGTCGCCCACACAAACACACAAAGTCGATACTACGCGTCCACGCCGAGTACTAAATTAGTTCAGCTATCGCTATCGATCGGACCTGCGCGCTAAAAAGTGAAACATAAATCTGGGTTGAGTTCAGCTCTTGGCTTTGATTCTTAAAACTATAATCATATCTGCATATATATTTTTTAAGAAAAAAAAATGTACACTTTTTTATATCAGTTTCTTGTATAATTAAAATTGATCATTCTACATGTAAATCTTGTGTAAGAATAAATAAGTATATGTTACTACTTGAAATATGAAGACATTAATTAAAAGGAAGATAATTTTGAGGATTTGGGTCTGGGGAGTGTTACGTGTTAGAATCCACGTACGATATGGGAAGCAGCCAAGGGTTAAAGGCCCTTCAGGCCGCCTCTAGCTAGCTATATCCTCTTGGCTCCTGCTTCGTTTACAATTCCGAAATAAAACGGGACCATTCAAGTGGGGATAGTCACGATTCCCTTTTTGGTTGATGTTGATTTCTGAATCAACAAAAACACATAACAAATAACTTGGTGAATAATAAAAGTTTTATACTTCTTATGTTACTTGACATAAGCTTCCTTATCTCATAGAAACAAAAGTCATGTGAGACTCATATATTAAAAAAAATTATATAAGAAATTCATGTTAATACGAAAATTGAAGAGTGTGTATAAAAAATTTTCTTCTCATGAAAACCTGAATAATAATTGGATTTGACCCAGAAAAACATCACTGGACTCACTACCATTCGTTCTTGTACTGATATGACAGCACAAGCTTCTGATATATGACAAAATAATGGGGATCGAAATCAACATATGCCGAAAAAAATTTAAACCAAACCCCTTAAGGCTATGGCAAATTTCTCACGTATGCTTTTTTTATGTCCATTAAGGACTCGTTTGGATGAGTTTTTTTTTTTTCAAAAGCTGCTTTTTTTCAAGATAAAAAGTACTTCTAGTTTTTAGTTCGTTTGGATGTCTGCTTTTTTTAAAAAAAAAGTCACAAAAAAAATCAAAAACCTACTTTTTTTCAGAAGCTAAAATTTTAACTTTTAAGAAAAGCAGAAGTCAAAAGTCAAATATTTTTTTCAAAAACTAAATATTTTTATAAAAATATAAATAGATTTAACTTTTGTAAAAAGTACTTTTAAAATAAGGAAGTGATAAAAGTTATTTTTTTTTAAAGCTGAAACAAACGATCTCTAAATTTGAATCTGCTATGCACATTAGCCCATCACCACACAATCTCTGTCCTTGCGTGTGTTTACCTGCACGTGCGTGCTATATGGGAGCGTTTGGTATAGGAGAAAAAAAAATTTACTGAGAAAATAGTTTTGCCAGAATGTGATTGGAAATATTTTATTCTGGATAAGTTACAAAAATGTGTTTGGTTGACCAAAATTTATCCCAAAAATATTTGATTAAGTTTAATGAATTGCTGTTTGGTTGACTGTGAAATAGTAGTAGAAATGTGGGTTATTTTACAAACATAGCCCTACTTTTACTTTTTTATTCAAAATTAGTACACAAAAAGTAGAGTTAATGTGGTCAATATTATTTTAGTTGCCTTTTACTTTTCCATGCAAAAAATTATCCCACATAAACTTTGGGTTTTCTAACAACATAACTGTACAACAATTTACGCATGGGGAAGGATATTGTGACAACCAAGTTGTGTTACTACCAAGTGACTACCAATCAATCTTACCGTTAGATCGATTATATTGATCCAACGATTATATTTATTTCCATCTTTGTAGGGTCATGATTCCCCAAATTTAATACTTTATATTTATATTCACCTTTGTATGGTTATGATTTCCCATATTTAATGCTTTCACTTTAAATATGGGAAATCATGACCATACAAAGATGAAAATAGATATAACCGTTGGATCAACATAATCAATCTTACGGTGAGATTGATTGGTAGTCACGTAACACAACTTGGTTGTCACAATATCCTTCCCCTTTACACATAGCAACAAAAATAGGCAAGTTTTTACCAGGGAAAGATTTGCATTTGTTGCAACCAAACATAACATTTTAATTTTCCATATGAAGCTTTCCAAGGAATTTCAATATAATCTGAGTAACAAACACCTTCTATGGAGGCGTTTGGTTGAGGAGAAATTTTTTGAATACTAGGGAAATGTAATAGATAGAGAAATGATTGGAAAGTGAGATAAAGTGAGATAGGTAGGAAAATGTAAAAAAAAAGTTATTTGGTGGGGAAAAATTTTACTGGGGTAGGTAACTTTTTGAAATGCATTACCCGGTTTTCCAAAAAAACCATCCTCAAATTTGGTTTCTAAACAGTGAGGATATCTATCTTTCTCAACAAAAGTTGATAAAGCCATACAAATTGCATAGATGAGAAATTGGTAAAAATCTATTCAAACATTGAGTTTCTAAAAATCATACTTGATTTTCCAATAAATTTGTTGAAAAGAAGGGAAACAAACACCACCTATAAGTTTATGCATATAGCCGGCTAAAATTAAAGGGGCAGGAAACGGAAAGAAAAGGAGAAAGCACTGACAAAAAACCAAAAGATCTAGTCCCACATACATGGTACATGAACTTCGTTTATTATGTTTACCTGTTTGGATTAATCCAAAATCCTAATCATATAAAAAAGAAGGGTAATATAAGTCTCATGTGCGACAGAAGATGAAATTTTTTTCTAGCATACGCAATAAAGCTCTGAAACCCATTGACTTTTTTTTTTTTTTCTCTTTCCTTATATTGTAGGATTCTATGATGCACAGACACTGATACGGGACATGACATGACACGCCAACACGTTAATTTTAAAAAATGACATATTTTAACACGTTGAGACACGTTTTAATATTAAATAATATTTTTAATATATATAATATTATTTATATTTAATACATATAACAGTTCATAACAAGTCATATAACCAATTAAATATTCAAATTTCATAACATAAATATAAAAAAAAAAAAAAAACATTTCGTACCTTGTTAATTTTTCATGTCAAATTTCATAACAGAAAAAAATTGATTTATAAATATTTTTTTATTTTTAATTAATAAAATAAGGGTTTTATTAATCTCCTTCCACATAAGATAGTTATCTTATGTGGTACTATCTTATGTGGTAGAGAGAAAATGAGTGGGTCCCACCATTGTAAGAAAAAAAATAAGGTCCGAAAATCGAAGTGAGAGAAAATGAGATAAGTTACCTTATGTGAAAGGAGAGTAATATTTCCCATAAAATAAATTAAGACTTTAAAAAAAAATGTGTCGGAGCGTTAACTACGTGTCGAAAAAATTGACTGCGTGTCGAAAAAATGTGTCGAAGAGTGTCGGAAAGTTGACCATATGTCCCAAAATGTTGACCTCGTGTCAGACGCGTGTCGAAACGTGTCTCTGTCGAACACATGTCAGACACGCAAATTAAAAATAAAAAAAAAGTGTCCAAGTATTGTCGGGGTATTGCAGATAGGACTCACGCTTTTATTGTCTAAGAAAAATTTCTTTTTCTCCTGCTGCATGACTTACAATACCAAAAAAAAAATGGTGAATTAGTTTTCTTTTAAATTTTAAAAGCGATATTTTGCTCCTTTGAATTTTACCAGGTTAACATTTTTCAAACTACAAGGTAATAAAATTACTTGTAAATAATAAAGAAAGGGAGATATGTAAAAAATTTCAAACAAAAAAGTGTAATAAATGCCAAATTCAATTTAAATATCTAAAAATAATAGTACGAAAATTCACGTGTGGAACACTAACTCCACTCTGAACATATATTGGCAAAGGGAAATTTTTAGCGGTGATGAAGAAGAAAAAAATAAAAAAAATACCTGGGATTGCTGCTCATTGATCCTCAGTAGCTGATGAAGTTTACTACCCCACAAACATGATCTCACATCATTGATAATTAATTAGAAGAAATGAACAGCAAATCAATGTACTTTCCGCTATCATTAATCATTACAATAGTTTATGAACAAGATACATTTGACTTTGATGACTGCCTTGATGTCTAGACTTGTACAGAGACAACTTATACATATTCGAAAACCAATCAACCCAAAATTTTGGATAAAATAGAAGGGGACAACTCGGGGGAGGAATTTAAATGGATCTCTTCTAAAATGAATTACACTACCAACTGCAACTAGACATTACTTTATACACAAAAATAGGCCATTCAAGTTAATAACATGGCCCAAGTTACTGGGTTAGTGGATGGATCCGATTTAAACTCCTAGCCCCCTTGGACTGCGTTTGCCATTTTGCGGTGCGTGTTCCGGAAGCAGGCAGCATATAAAGTTCTTTTGCAATGGAAAATGAATTCATTTACTCAACCTTAGTTGCACTCTTTGGCGCCTGTCCTCCAGAGTACGAGAGTTATCAGGTAAAGCCCGCAACTTGCATTTCTGCTTAATTATATATTTTAATATTATGAATCATGAGAGCCTTGAACCATCAAAGTAATACGCTTAGCACTGTCTGCACGAAAGCTGTCCCCTTTAAATGCAATCTGAGAGTACAATCATATTCAAGATCCTCAAGACAATTGAAACGACAAAAAGCTACAAAAATCTTTAAAGTCCCTCGTCAATTAATAAGCTGTAAGTTACCTCAGATTGACTATCAGGAGGGAACCACCGCAACAACGCACCAAGATGCACAACAGCAGGAATTAGCTTGAAAAGCAAAGGTGTAGTCACCTGCACTATTTCTGTCTGCTTAAGCTTCAAAGTCTCTAAAAATCAACTAGCTAAATACATTCAATACTTAAAATACATCAAGATCACCCACGAAACTGGCTATAAGTTTTAGAACAGATCACACATTCCGGATAAGTTTGAAGCTGCTTCTATCATTTAAATTAGTTTAAATATCAGTTGGTTATTTTTGTTGTTATACTGTTGTTTATTTGCTCAATCTTAGGAGTTGTTCTAGTATTTAGAAAAGGGCGCCAAGTACTCCAACATTAGGTAGAATTTGGATCAAGTTATCTAAGGGCTGAGAAGTTATTCTCGGTAGAAGGATACTGCTCCTTGGCTGGGGAATATTTCCATAGTAAATCTTCCCCTTTACTACAATAAACACCCAGGACAGTAGTAATGTTTTGTCCTTTTTCCTAAACTATTCTAGAGTTGTAACCGGTAATATAAAGATGGTCAACCAAAAACCACTCCCCGTTAAACCCGACTAGCGAGTGTAGGATGGAAGAAATCCTTGTACGCAGCCTTACCCTTGCATAATTGCAAAGAGGCTGTTTCTTGGATTCGAACCCATGACCTTTCAGTCATGAAGGAACAGTTTTACCACTGCTCAGGTTCGCCCCCTTTTTATATAAGTGTAAGTTACACTCTCAATCCTAATTGTTGATCACACGTGTATCTAACGGCTCACGTGACTGACTAATACATTAGAGCCGTTAAATGGAAAAATATCAATGGTTAAGATTGGGTATATAACTTATTATTCTTATACTGGTGTAAGTTATTCCTTCTTCATATATATATATATATATATATATATAGGGAATTGATTTTCTCATTTTACATGAGAAAATTTTCTCATGTTACACACAATACATGAGTGGAGTCCACAAAAAGGTGATAAGACAAAAAAGTCAAGATGGGACCCACTCATGTATTGTGAGTGTAGCATGAGACAATTTTCTCATGTAAAATGAGAAAACTATTACCCATATATATATATATATATATATATATATATATATAATTCACTCATGCTGGCTGGCTGAATACCGACTGGTATTTCACCCTTCAATATGCTTTTCATATGAAGTGGAATGTTTATCATGCTTTTCATTTCATTTTGTCCCAATTTTTTCCGGAAGTAATATTTCACATTACAAAAGCCTGAGAAAAACAAAAGTCAAAAAATCAGGTGAGTAAAATGACCATGATCTGTGGGGCTTGAAACAATAGTTTGCCCTTGAGTACATGCAACTTGCAAGCATTCCATAGTGGATATAGATAGACTAATAACCCTAACCCATATAGCAAGAGCATAAAGTTTGAATATGATAACAACCCTAATCCATACAGGATCACACACACATACATAATTGTTTCCGCGAAAAAAATTTCTCTGATCTCCGTGGAGGGGGAGGAGTGGAATTACACGTCTTGAATATTTTATGGGGATGAAATGGCTCAAGTGATACAAATCACACAATGGCAACAAAGTAAGAAGTAATTACTATTGATAATTACTATGTAAAACTATTATTCTGTAAAACAGTGCATGCATACCAGACTGAGCGCTGTTGTCCCAAGGAGCAACAAATACAACTTTCCCTGCAGTAATGATCAGACTTTCAGTTTAACTGTTAAGTATTCAAAAGTAAGTGCAGAAACTATGCAATTACATTCATACTTAAGATGATAATAAGTGCTTCCAGGAAAACTGCATAATATTTTATAAAATATATTTTCAATCTTCTTGAGTTAAAACTGTTTACAAAAATATAGGAAGATAAATTTCATGGTCTTCCTTAGCATAAGCATAAATTAGCTAAAATGAACATCTCAAAATGAAGCACACCTCAACTAAATGAAGATTTGAAGCACGACTGAGAAGAACAAAGGCAAATTCCCCAATTTGTGCCAGGGACATCCCAACCTACGCATGTGGAATAACCTAAGGCTCCTATGTCAATGAAATATGTGATGTGATCAACAAGCAGAGGTAATTGTATTAACCATTGTCAAATCTTACAAGAAGCGAAGTCTTGTTGTTGTATCCAAAACCCTTGACAACAGATGCAGCTACGATTGTTTTTATAATGATCACCAATATAACTGCTGCCAGTAAAATGTCAACATGATTCCAAAGGAAATGGACATGTATAAGCATCCCAATGCTGGCCAAGAACAGAGCGGCAAAAAAGTTGCGAATTGGCTCAACCTAAAAATCAACAAACAAGACTAGGCTCAAATAAGTATGGCAAACCACGGATCATCTCAAAATTTATGTCCTTCAAGAAGATTCCCTGAAATTCATTTGGGTGGGACACCCCCATTTACAGGCATGAGGCATCCATGATGAAAATACAAACAAAGAAGTATCAAACAGAATACTCAAACATCCCCCCTCCCACCCCTAAAAAGTGCTCAACATGACAAAAAGCAGTTGAATACCGACAAGAAAATAAAGAGCATGGTAAATATTTGAGAAAAATGATACTTCACAAACCACAAGTTTTTACCAAGAAAAAAGGGAAAAAGTTATATTAACTTTTGGGTTGGAGAGTTGGTGCAAACTACACCATTGGAAAACTTCCAACTTCTGAAAACATAATATATAGTAAAACTAGCAAATACAAAGAACATATATCCGAAGAAAATGTGTTACTTGTTCAAGTGTATGTTGACCAAGATCTGTTGTTGATATCATCACTCCTGCAGCGAAGGAACCCAGTTCAAGGCTTAAACCCAGCTTATCACTACACTGAAATGAAATAACAAATTATATTAAAACAATTTGTTAAAGGCACACAAGTTGTTTGGACTTCACAAATGTGTAAGTATTAAAGTGTCAGGCATGCATGCATTTAAGCAACCACTCAGATGTAGGGAAGTAAAGTTGGGTGTTGAGACATAAGTCATTACACGCCAAGAGGAAGCAACAGCAGACTTCACCATGACTAAGGGCACTTTACAGTGTAGATAATAAAACAGACTACTATATATTAACAACATAACACTGTTGTCAAGTAATGAAGATTAAGAATTGATTCACACACCCAAGCAACAAGTAGGCAGAATGCCACCGATGCCAATTGATAAAGTTCATTGGTCTGCACAAGAAAAAGTCAGTTAAAAACTAACGCATGAACAAACATTAACAACAGAGCAAAAGGTTTATTTTCACCTGAGATGATAAGCTTATCATAAGCTTAAGGAACCATGGTACACATGTACGAGATAATATGGATAAAATGGCCAAAAAAGTAATTAAGATTACCAACCTGAAACAATAGAATTAGGAAATCAGAAGGAATAAATGACTGAAACAAGCATACCATCAAGCAAGAACAAGAGAGTTAATATCATCAGCACATCAAGTCAAGCTGACTGCCTTACGAAATTCAACCAGGCTATGGAGTATATGTGCAATTATATGTTTAAAGTAGTCCCAGTAATAGAACAACAACATGAAACAGTTAGTGGTGCCACTGTACTTGGTATACTAAAGCATAAAATAATATAGTGGAAGATACTGGTATTGACAGTTTATTTTATCTTCATCAGAGTGTTACAGACCCAGAAATGGGTTCTGAGTTTTCAGAGATAGAGATGAGTAAAAAAGAGAGAAATGGAAGAAGAATACTTCTGGTAGTGTTTATTGAATTAAAAAATAAGAACCCAAGGAGAGAATTCTCATTCCAAGGGTTTCCCCTTTACAAAGAGTTACCTCTTTACCAAAAGAGCATTTGCTCAGTTCTTACATTTAAATTCCCAAATGCCTATCTCTTATCTTGATACTGCTATTTAAGGCTGCACCCCTTTGCCTAACTACCTATCTCCTTGGTAGATTCTAACTTAACTAACTAAACATATATCAAACTGTCTAACTAACTCTGACACTGTTCTAATCTATTCTTCTGTGTCCTATCAGAGAGCTTCAACATTTTCACCCACTCCACCAAAGAGAACCAAATATTAGATAATGGACTCAAATAAATGACTGGATTCCCTTACCATGCATTTATTACTTCCAAATAAAACAACCATTAAACTAACAGAGACAATTTCCCCATTTTTTACTGCCTAATTTATTATTCCATTTATCCAAGTGCGCTTAATTAGTGATTGCAAGTTTGCAACCAATTAAGGACACATTCAGTTGTAAAGATGCATTTCAAAGATGTAACATTCAAAGAAAAAAAGATATTGAATACACTCCTATACCGTGATTGAAAAGATGCAGTCTAAACTCAGATTTATATTAAAACTTACATGTAATATCCGAAAGATATAAAAGAATTGAAAAGGGTTCATTCAGACTTTGCACAAGGGGTAACAAAATTGGATAATCTGTTGCAGATATGTAGACCTCTCAAAAATCTTTACCCAGATATGTGTTGTGTGGTTATAGTTTGGACAGGTGACTATCTTTTTGGGCACTGCCCTGCAATCAACTCCTGCTGCTGTAGGTTATATAGAATTTTTTGTGAATTTCAGGTGTGTCCTTTGAGCATGGAACAGTTTTTCTTATCTGGTTTCATGCCCTGTGGCAATTGGCAGGAATGAGGGAAGGCTTTATCAAAGAATGTCATTCATGCTGTTCTCTGGAACATATGGCTTGAGCAGAACACTTATATTTACTAGTGTTCTTATTTGTCCTTAGACTGCTTTTGTTATTGTACCTTTGCTGTGGAGGGATTTCTCGTCCTCTTTATATGTACTCCTTTATAATAATTCTTTTTTTACAATTATAAACTTTTTATAGAAGACTTCTAATAATAATTTCATCATAATAGCAATATTATAATAACAAAAGGCCTAGCTAATCCCAGCACTACAATATTTCCTTTGATAAAATTTACAAATAAAGGAAATCAAGAAGTGCAGTAAAACATTGTTTACATAGCATGCTCAGTAATGGCCCAAAGCAGAACGAGCACACCAATATTTCCCAACTTACTTGCATCCACATATTATTAAAATCTCTTAACAACCCAAGAATCAAAACAATGAAAAGTATATCTTTCGACATCCACAAAATATAAGTTGAATTGGACAGAATGGAAAGACAGGATCACAATACTAAATAGCAGCACTTGGGAACCTTGGGGTTTAATGTTACATGTTATAGATTTTCGTGAACTATGCTGAGATAGAATAGATGATGGACAATCCAACCTATAATTAACTTACGATTTAGTCATCGATATTACTCCCTGAATAACACCTGATGTACCACCCAGGATCGGAAGCAGTGCAAAGAGCAAACCAATAGCACAGTCCTGAAAGGAACCAGTAATATTTAATACTGCACTAAAAGGTATATGTAAGAGAATATACTAACAAGGAATATCAGCATCATTGATAGCATTAGTCAGCACTCTTTTTGCACAACACAACTGGTAGCAGTAAAGTTTCAGTCATACGTATGCATTCATAAATATAAAAATAATAGTACATACCTGCAGAATCAGAGTTCCAATTGTAACCTGACCATAAAGGGCATTGACGCTATTCCTTTCCATTAAGAATTTCAAGACCTTTGGGTCAAAGAAAAATAAAAAAAAAATTTAAGCAACATAGCTTTAATGAGGAAATAAAATATTTGAAGAGAAAGCTTTGTCTAGGTGTGACAGCAAGGAAGAATGATAACATCTAGAATAAAAATGATAACATCTCTGCACCCCTTCCTAGAGAACACCCTTGTGATAGGGGGTCGTTCCCTAATAGGACCCTTGAAAATGAAAGCACTCCTTCCTGTCCAACCAAATTCTCCGAAAAAACATATACGCCGTGCAGTCACACAAAATTTTTTCCATAGAAAAAGCTTATATCAGTTCTTAAGAGTTGATTTTTCTTTCAGTCTTCTTCCCCTGTCAGTGAGATATATTACTATCATGTGAGCAAATAATCTCCTATTCTCCTCCACTAAAGTTTTTCTATTTTGTTCTTCAACCTTACTTGTTTGATCTAGTTACTAAGCACATTACAACTAACACTTTGACCCTAAAAATTAAAAAGGACCATCACCTTGGAACAAAAATACCTTTATTTCTCATACTTTCCATTATCCAGTAATTTAATTAATTGTTGTTGGCTGAAACATTGTGATGGCAGTATTGAATATTGAAATATGAATCACAGGCAATGATTGCTATAGTATATCACAATTATCAAAGTGCAGGCCATAGGTTACTTAAAATACTTATAAGCCTGCACTTAAAATAAAAAGGTCATTGTCCAAGAAAGTTGTAATCATGTACATTTTTTTATTTTATTTTTATAAACATAATCATGTACTTCAAATGTATATTGTAGAAATGGGATATCAGAAAACATGTAATAATGTGATTAGAAAATTACCACTGCCGTTGAAGACATGGATAGAAATGTACCCACAAATATTCCTTCAGATGATTTGCCACCACATAACTGCAGGTAGGATTTAGATGCATTCATCAGAAATTCAGTCACTAAAGTAGAGAAATTTTGTAATAAATAAGAGTACAAAACACCATCAATTTATTCACTCAATTGGAAGCCTCAAAATCAAGACATGTTCCTAGATAACTATTTTAAGAGCCTTAACATTTAACAAGCATAGAAAAGTATAAGCCCATCTACAAGTCTTTCTCGTCTCCTTACCATATGGCTTATTGTTAAAGAAATTATAAACTTGTTGCTAGTGAATACAAATAATAAACTGTGAAAAACATATGAGGGCCATACAATAATCATGCAGGCAACGCGGCAATACAACAAAAACCAAGTCTTATCCAACTTGGTCAGAGACTCAGAATAAAACAAAAAACAATACCAATAAAACAATTTAAAATATATATAGTGGGCAAAACAAACTTGATTGTATAACAGTAAGATTAGTGTATCAACCTAGGAAACTTTTACAAACTTTCCCATCAAATCTCAAATCTAGTTTGATCTCATATAGTGTTAGAGAAATACATAAATCATTTATGACCCTTCACTTAATAGCTTAAGCTTTTGGGTGAATTGGTTCTTTATATTGTATCAGAGCTTCAGTGACCATTAGGTCACGAGTTCGATTCTCATTTCCCCCACTTTCTCTTGTGGAATTTCTTAACACAGGTAGATAGGCCTATACATTGTCCACCTTTCAAGCCCAGTGGGCTCTCGTGTGAAGGGGCATGGTAGAGATATAAAAAACCATTAATGTAACCTCACCCAACACCTTAAGGTTTTGGGTTGAATTGGTTCTTTACATATAGGTAAAAGTATGAGGGCAGGATACTCATTTTTTTAGCATAACAAGAAGACTGATTTTTCTCTCCTATTCTCACAATGTTTCCTATATAGCTCATCCTGCTTCACACATAAATCAGTAAATTTTTTCAGACCACAACAAAAATCTAAACATAATGGATATCATGGATTCATGGAACACTTGATAACAAGATATTTGGAGCAATACGTGTTGGAAACTGGCAATGCTTATTGCTAAGGAATCAAATCTTATTTGCAAAATATTTATAGAAGAACAGGCATACCAAAGCTGTTATTCCACACAAGCACATAAATAAGAAAATTTGGAGCAGACCTCCAAGAATAGCCACTGCTCGAACAACTCGGAGCTGTAATCATGAAAAGACAGATTTCTAGCATATATCGATGAGCTAAAAATACACGGTTTAAGCTAAAAGGAATAAATGAGTAAACAAGCCAACCTTTGTTGTGGAAAACTCTAAGCCCAATGCAAAGAGCAGAAATATGACACCAAATTGAGCAACAGTCTCAACCTGCATGGAATGGAAGCAGTATGTGAGATTTTTAGGAGATAAATTAGATTACATGTTAATTGTAACTATTTCAATGTCATATATGGAGACATTATATATGACATCATTATCCCATTCACACCCCGTAATTTTATTTCTAGATGTGGCTGGCTAAAACAAAGGGGAAAAATTCGTTAGAGCACATAACAAAAGAACTATAAGGGCAACATACTTGGACCATTTCACTAACAAAACTCAAACCTCCAGGTCCAATGATAGATCCTGCTAGCAGATATCCAGTCATAACCTGCAAATTAGAATGTGTGGATGACACCAATTTTAAGAGGTATATGGTAGAGATATCAACCGAAAACAATAAAGCAATGTTTGTGAGCAAACCGGTTGTCCAGCACAAGCAAAGGCAATGCCACCACAGGTTGCAGATACAAAAACAACCACAAGATCTGATATCAATCTGCAAATATGGCATATCAACAAGGGTAAGCAGCCTGACTAGTTAGTAATTGCAACCACTCATACATGCAATGCCACTTGAAAAAGAAAGTAAAAAAAGGGACAGGAACAGTAAGTAAACCTCAGGTCTAATTGAAGAACAGGATACTTTGACTTGGGATTGGATATGATAAAGACATTGTCCTGAAGAAGAAACAATCAGCAAAATATGAAAAATTAAATCCGCTTTTAAGAAGAGTAGTACAATTAAGTTTTTTCATGCATATCGTGACGATCTGGTGGTAACAAAATATTATTACATTCTGTAAGTTTGCGAGATCTAAACTTCAAAAGCTTGAATGAGACATACCTTTCGATCAATTAAAGTTGGCATATCCTCTGCCCTATTCTCATTATCCAAATTGAAAACATCGTGGAACTGAAATGATCTGATAAAAAGCTTACCAAATGTCATAAATGCTAAAAATAGTCATTAGCATTGCATAAATTTTTTAAAACTCAGTTCCCTCCTGAAGAAAAACTAATAATTCAATTTACTCTACAAGAAAGAGGAGCATACTTTTCCTCTTTGCTCTCATTTTTCTTGGGCTTAACTCTAGCAACTGTTTCCAAAACAGCCTGATACATTAAACATATCATGAGAAGGAAGGACATTAGATAATGAGCCTATTGAAGGGCTAATAACAAGTCACACATATAAAAACCCTCAAAAATCAAAAGAAACGGTATTTACAAAAATAAAGGATAAAGTTACCAAGCCACGGGTTCCCACTATAAAATTCATTATCCCTAAAACATATTTTTGACGCATCATGAGTGCAATCCGCAGTATAAGTTATCGTCTATAGTGACTTCTATCCTAGATCAGCTTAATGCTTTTCTAACGAATTATCATCAATAGACTTAAATCCGTACCAGATTGAATTCTGCCCTAAAGCTAAATACGAATATAACCAAAATTAGGACGCTAAAGTGCTCCACCCTATTGCCTCCAGCGCTGCTTCACATTGAGCAACATCCTTAACTTCAAGAGGCAATTAAGTATATCAAAAAAAGGATTTCACTACACACCTGCTGGTCAGCAACACTGTTGTTGAAACTACCAGCATCAGTACCTGCAAAAGAGTCAGGGTAATTCACCAAGTGAATTCATTGAATAAAACATTCCACAATGCTACATGTGGTTCGAGAAAGATTCAACAAGTTCATGACAAAGAATCCACATAAAATGTTTGGAAGGTGATAGCATTTGATTGGTTTGCCATCATAAAAGCCAAAAAAAAAAAAAAAAAAAAAAAGTTGCCAAATTTAGTAATCACTTTTTTTTTCCCTATCAAGTGTATCAAATTTCGAATCACACTGCACACATTGCTATAAGAAGAATGCAGGAAAGAGAAGAAGTTAAATCCAGCAGCGCATCAATCTCACGAGTATCAATCTCACGAGTCAAATCAGGAAATTGCAGAACAACGCCTCCAGAGGAGAAGTAAAATTAAAATTCAATCGAAAGGCATTTTCGAAAATTCATTTTGCATAACCAAAACACGATCCGACGAGTTTTGGCAACCAAATTAAACAAGAGAAATTTAGAAATGCGTGAGCATTAGAAAGACAAAGAGGAGCTAGATCTGCGAACCTTCATTCTGCTCATTCTCGGGGAACTCTCTTTCTAGAGCCCGATCAATCATGTTAGCGAAGCTATCCTCGTTGGATCTCGGGAGCGAGGCATTACCAACGGTGGTTGCGTTGGTTTCCGGGAGGGGAAGCTCCGACCCCGTCTCCGAGTTATCGGCGAGGAGAGAGAAAGAGAATGAGGGATGACAGAGAAGTAGATCGCAGAAAATGAGAAAGCTGAGAATGGCAGGTGATGTTAACCTCATCTCCTAGGCTCAGAGAGAGATAGAGCAACGGAGGAGTGTCACCACCGGAAGTTAGCTAAACCGTCGTGTTTGGCGCGCGAATTCTCTGTCTCTCTCTGTTACGCACAGATAGGTTACTTGATAGAGGGAGAAAATGGGGTGGTGGAGTGGAACTGTGAAAGTACGAAATGGTCCTCGATATTCGGTGTAGTGAAAATTGAAAAAAAATGGTTTGGAGCGGAACGCGATTATGGCCAAGTGCAATGCACAATTCGGCACGTGTGAGTCGCTGCAAAATATATAAAAGTGTACTTACTCGCGTCGTAACGAATGCAAAGCATCACAGCTATGAAGGTCTTGCCAAACACATCCAATAATTATTGCCTAAGGATGAGTGTACATTAACTTTTTCTCACCGACCATCATTTTATTTGTGGATTTACTGGATATTGAAAATTCTCAATTAAAGGACCCACTGTTACGAATTACTATAAGGGAGCTTTACATAAGCTATTACTTGATTTTGATTTTATTAAAATTTAATTACAAATAATTTTTCAGAAAATTATTTTCTGCAGTTAATACAGATAAGTTATCTGCGTTTACTTTCAAAATGAAGTCGTTTTGATATTAAGATATTAAAAAATTATAATTATAAAGACTATAATACTCTTAAAATAAATTAAAATTACAAAAACACTATGATTTTCGCCAAAATAATGTCATATTGAGCTTACTGCAGATAACTTATCTGCAGTAACCGCAGAAAAATCTAATCCATAATTTCTATTCAATTGAAATTTAATTATAAAAAATTTATGTTTGATTTTTAATTTAGTTTTAATTAACTCACCCTTAGATTATATATACTCTATTAGTTGCTTATGTAATAGCCACTTTTGGTATTAATCAAATATATTTTCTCTAACTACCAAAAAAATTTATTTTTCTCTTTCTATTTTTTCTCTCTTATTTGTGTAATTTGTCATTATTTTTCTCTTATGACTTAATAACTTGAAGGTTTGGATTCATGTATTATGCAGAGTTCTACTAACATGTTAAAGGAGATAAGTTATCTTATGTTATAGAAACAAATTTGTGAGCTCCATCACCTGTAAAAATAAAAAGAAAAATATAACACAGTTATCGAATGGTGTATAGGAGAAAAAACTTATCTTATATAGCATGAGAATAGTTTTTCTCTAGATTTAATTGCTAAAAAAAGTACAATGTATATTACTCGTAACCTTTTACAAATTATAAAGGATTTTATTTCGACTTTTTGACACTTTTATCCTTTATTAATTAAAAAATAACTATTTTGTTACTGTTCTAAAACTATATACTAATCTCACCCCATTTAATCCATTACATGACACATTAAGTATTGAAAAAATGGTGTAATCAATTATAAATTTTTTAATCGATTAATTTCAGTTTTTTTGACACTGCCTTCTTTTTTCGTGCTTTTTTTTTTTGCTCTTGCATAATAATCACTTCCTCTTGCTTACTGTCCATGGTTGTTGGCATACTATAAGCACTGTATGTAGACTAAAAGACAAGATCACCCCATCAAATGTAAAAGAAAAAATTGTTTGTCATTTTAAATGACATAAAGTTATGTCAATGACGCAGAGTTATGTCATCTTAAGAGAGAGATAGACACAAAATAATATTTTTTTATTTAAAATTTAAATTAAAAAAAAAACACCCACTTTCTTCCCATAATTTTCATTTCTTGTGTCTATCTCTCTCCTAACATGACATAACTATCAGAGAAATGGCTTATGCATTAATCTAGCCATTCTCGAGGCGTTCAAACAAAATGCCTAGTCATTATCAGTCTTTGTTAATATGGACTTCAAAATGTTTAATTAGCTTCTAATTGCACTATTGACTTAGATTTAAATCTTATCTAGCCCCATATATACCCCATCCTAATCCTGTAACATATATTCAGCAAACAAATATCAATATCTAGAGATGGAGATCCATGTGATAGATTTCAGTAAGCTCAACGGAGACATGCAGGGGTGACACAATGTTGCTACTGCATGAGTGAAAATCTTGGTTTGGAGAAGGATTACATCAAGGAAGCATTTTCTGGAAGTAACGGTCCTACTGCATGTGGGAACAAAAGTGCCAAAGTACCCTCAATGTTACGAACGTGCGCAAGTCCATAAGGAACAGACGTGGACCAGCATGGAAGGATGACTATGTGGATAGTTAGTTACAGTAGCTATAGTGGGTTAGTTAGTTAACCAGTGGTTCCAATAGAATAAGGCCACATGGTATGATTGTAACTGATAGAGAATTATAAATGGAACTCTTGATTGTATTGCAGGACATCATGGAAATAAAACAAGCTTATTCTTAGTCTTTCTTTAGTTCTTCTCTGTTTCTCTCGATACTGTGTATCATTTGGTGCTTTCATCCTTGAACCCATTTTCCATCATGAAGATTCATGAGGTAGCTGATGATCTTCGTTCTGAATTTCAACGTGAAGTTCAGGCTACGCGTTTGGATTTGAATCAGAAGTTGGAATTGTTGACGGAATCGATGGTGGCTTTGGATGTACGTTTGCGAGATTTCATTACTCAATCTTAACAACACTCCTCACTTGCGCATTCCAGTCACCACTCAACCATGGCGAACAAAACTTTATATAACAAGGCTCCTGATCAACGTTTGTTGAAATCTGTTAAGATGGAAATTCCATCTTTCAATGGCTCTGATCCTAATAATTGGATTTTTAGGGCGGAATTGTATTTCAGTATGCAACAAATTCCTCCTCATTTGAAGGTTCAATTGGCTGGTTTGAAAATGGACGGACAAGCTGCTCCATGGTTTCAATGGATGTTTAACACAGGAACCATTCATCAATTGGATGAATTTTCAAAAACAGTGCGTCAGAGATTTGATGTCTCAGCTTTTGTGGATCTTCGAGGTTCTCTTTCTAAACTTTCTCAATCTGGATCATTATGTGATTATGTTAAGGAATTTGAGATACTGTTGAATCAAGTACCTGGTTTCACTGATGATGTATTAATGAGTTTTTTTATCTCTGGATTACAAACTGATCTAAGGGGTGCTATCCAACTACAATGGCCCAAATCCTTACATCATGCTATGCAGTTAGCCTATGCCTTAAACACACATCACGAGCAATTACGTTCTTCTATTTCTATTACTCCCAAGAAATCAACATTTCCTAATAATCCAAACAGTACGACCCATAACCTTCCATATCATAAAACATCAACCACCAGCACATTCACTCAACCAGTCACTTCTACTATTCCACGAGCCATACCATCATCTTCATCCAACCTTCCCATTAAGAGGTTTCCCCCTGAAGAAATTGCCAAGAAAAGAGAGCTTGGTTTGTGTTACACTTGTGATGAAAAATGGACTGCTAGGCATAGATGTAAATCTCAGATACTTTTGCTGTTTGGAGAAATTGAGGAGGAGACACCAGAACTTGAAGAAGAAATAGTGTGGACGCCGAATATCCCAGGAGAGTCCATAGAGGCTTCCTTACATGCCTTGTCAGGTTCCCTGAATCCTAGAGCTTTAATTTTGGAAGCAAAATTAGCTGCTCACCTAGTCACAGTATTGGTTGATTCAGGCAGGTCACACAATTTTATTAGTAGAGAGTTGGCTACTACTTTAAGCATTCCATCTATTCAAACCCGTGGTATGAAGGTGTTTATGGGGAATGGTGATTTTCTATTGTGTGAATGGAAGTGTCCTGGTGTTCCAGTGGTTCTACACAATACTTCATTTCTAGTTGATTTGTGGATTTTGGATTTACATGGTTTGAATATAGTGTTGGGAATGACTTGGTTAAGCAGTCTTGGTCGAGTGACCCATGATTATTTGGAGCAATCAATGGAATTTGTCTGGCAGAATCAAATGGTGAAGCTACAAGGAGTGGTTGACTATTCCCATTCCAGTGTTTTGAAGAGTACTCCCTTGGCTTCTTGTTGTACATTGATGTCACTTACAGGTTCTGATACTGGAATACAGGTACTTCCAGAATTACAAGCTCTTCAATCAACACTTGATTTGACTGTATGGCAGGTACTTGTGCATTATCTCAGTGTCTTTCAAACTCCTCACACCTTGCCACCATTTCGAGGTATGGACCCCTCTATTCATCTAGTGGAAGGTGCAAAACCTGTTAATGTGAGACCCTATAGGTTTCCACATCACCAAAAATCTGAGTTGGAGAAACAAATTACTGAGCTTTTATCTACAGGCATGATTCAACCAAGTCGAAGCTCTTTCTCATCACCAGTATTATTAGTTCAAAAACAAGATGGAAGTTGGAGAATGTGCATAGATTACAGGGCTTTGAATGCAATTACTATCCCTGATCGATTTCCTATACCAACTATAGATGAACTTTTGGATGAATTGCTTGGAGTCACCATCTTTAGTAAGTTGGACTTGAGAGCAGGCTATCATCAGATACGTATGCTTCCTCAAGACATTCATAAAACTGCATTTAGAACTCATGAAGGCCATTATGATTTCCTTGTCATGCCATTTGGTTAACAAATGTTCCATCCACATTCCAATCTGCTATGAATCAGATTTTTCGTTCTTTTCTAAAGAAGTCTGTCATAGTTTTCTTTGATGACATACTTATATATAGTGCTACTGTTGAAGAGCATGCTGTTCATTTAGAATCAGTTTTATCTTGCTTGAAGCAGCATCATTTTTTTGTGAAGTTCAGCAAGTGTGATTTTGGGCAAGCTGAAATTGCATACTTGGGACACATTGTATGTGCTGCAGGAGTTAAGGCTGACCCTTCCGAAGTTGCTGCCATGATTGATTGGCCACAACCTACAAATATCAAGCAGCTTCGAGCTTTCTTGGGATTGGCTAGTTACTATAAAAAATTTGTTCATCAGTATGCCAATATAGCTTGGCCCCTAACAGAGTTGCTGAAATCAGACAAGTTGATTTGGTCCACTGCAGCAACTGAGGCTTTTTGTGCTTTGAAGACAGCAATGAGTTCCACTCCAATCCTGGGCCTACCTGATTTTTCTGTTGTGTTTATAGTAGAAACGGATGCTTCCAATTGTGGCATAGGAGCAGTGCTCATTCAGAATGGACAACCACTTTCATTTTTCAGTAAGAAATTAGGCCCTCGGATGGCAGTTTCTGCTACTTATGTAAGAGAACTGTTTGCAATTACTGAGACAGTTAAAAAGTGGAGGCACTACCTACTTGGTGGACATTTCATCATCAGGACAGATCATCAAAGTATAAGAGAATTACTTTCTAAAACTATCCAAACCCCAAAACATCACAGATATGTCCACAAACTCCTTGGTTATTCACTTTCCATTGAGTACAAACCTGGCTCTTCTAATGTAGTAGCAGATGCCCTATCAAGACAGTTTGAGGAAGCACCTAAGAACTCTCTTTATGCTCTTCTTTCAGAACCTCGATTTGAGCTCATTGATCGAATAAAGGCAGAAAATTTACATGATCCTGACTTGCTTTCATTACATCAGAAGATTGTTGCTGGCACTTTGGCTGATAATTCCTTTACTTGCAGAGATGGAATAGTTTATCATAAAGGCATATTTCATTTAAGTTCGATCTCTTCTTGACTTCTGAACTTATGGCAGAGGCACACTCAACCCCTCTAGGTGGACATGCAGGTTCCCTTCGCACTTTTCTTCGATTATCTGCTTCCTTTCATTGGCCACATATGAGGAGGGACATCACTCGATTTGTTCAGGAATGTATCACATGTCAACAAGTAAAAACGAGTACTGCAGCTCCCTTGGGTCTTTTGCAACCCCTTCCAATCCCAGAAGCTATGTTTGAAGATCTTACCTTGGATTTTATAACCTGCTTGCCAGTTTCAAATGGGTTAGCCACAATTCTGGTGGTAGTGGATAGATTATCCAAGTATGCTCATTTCATTGGACTGCCTTCATCATATACAGCAGCTGTAGTGGCCAGACATTTCTGTGATCATGTAGTTAAATTGCATGGATTCCCTTGTTCTTTGGTATCGGATAGAGATCCTATCTTTATGAGTAAGTTTTGGCAAAAACTTTTCTCATTGAGTGGTACTAAACTTAAAGCAAGTTCCAGTTACCATCCACAAACGGATGGCCAATCCGAGGTCACCAACCGATATGTAGAACAGTATCTCCGTGCATTTTGCTCAGACCAACATCAAAAGTGGTCCACTTTTCTATGTTGGGCAGAATTACATTATAATTCTTCAGTTCATTCAGCTATTGGGATGTCTCCATTTAAAGCACTTTATGGTAGACTTCCTGCCACAATCCCTCATTATCCTAGGGGATCAGTAACCATAGAGGCTTTGGATACGATTTTGTGTCACAGAAATGAGATCTTATAAGAATTGAAAACCAATTTGCTGAGAGCACAGAATCGGATGAAAAATCAAACTGATCGTCATCGTCGTGACTTGGTGTTGACAGAAGGTGATCTTGTATTGGTAAGGTTACAACTTTATCGTCAGTTGTCCGTCATCAATCGTACTAGTCAGAAGCTTGCAAAGCGTTTTTATGGCCCTTTTGCAATAAAGAAAGTGATCAGTGTTGTCGCTTATCAATTGGATCTTCCAGCTTCATCTATAATTCATCCTACATTCCACATATCTTGTTTGAAACCTTTTAAGGGAAACATTGTTGCACCAGTTGCTCCTTTACCCACTTTGAGTGTTGATAATAAACCAGTTCAGTCCCCAATGTCAATTTTGGCCAGTCGTTTGATTGATGTTAATGGTCAACCTCAAGAACAATTCTTCATTCAGTGGTCTGACATTGTTCCGGAAGATGCAACATGGGAGGCTGCTGAAGCATTTAAGCTAGCTTATCCAAATTCAAACCTTGCGGACAAGGTTTCGCTAGAGAGGGGGGTTGTTGTTACGAACGTGCGCAAGTCCACAAGGAACATACGTGGACCAGTATGGAAGGATGACTATGTGGATAGTTAGTTACAGTAGCTATAGTGGGTTAGTTAGTTAACCAGTGGTTCCAATAGAATAAGGCCACGTGGTATGATTGTAACTGATAGAGAACTATAAATGGAACTCTTGATTGTATTGCAGGACATCATGGAAATAAAACAAGCTTATTCTTAATTTTTCCTTAGTTCTTCTCTGTTTCTCTCGATATTGTGTATCACTCAATGTCCACGTCCTGAAAGGACTCAAAAAACAATGGCTTTGAATCCCGGTCTTAAATTCTTCAAAGACGGCAATTGGGCGGAGATTCCACCCTCCAAGAACAATGCCATTTTTGTTAACACAAGTGATCAAGTGGAAGTGTTGACCGTTGAGCAATGGCTTATATAAAAGTGTTGTGCACATGACAGGGTCATGCCTGACAAGAATGGAAGCAGAATCTCCATTGCCACCTTTTATAACCCAATTGGAGATGCCATTATTTCCCCGGCTCCTAAACTCTTATACCCAAGCAATTTCCATTTTGGGGACTATTTGAAGCTTTATGGCAGCACCAAGTTAGGTGAAAAGGATCCTCGATTTGAATCCATGAAGAAAATGACCAATGGACACAAAAATCTTCTAGCTTAAAACCTAAAAAGACCATCTATTACCCTTAGGGCGGAAATTTCTTTGGTGATACGAATGTATCGTAAATTTGGTGCATCTTCCACTTATTATGACACGTGTCTTACTTTTGTCAAATCAATAATAAATAATTTATTTTAGAATTAGGAGAGAAAGTGATTTGATATAAAATAAGACACGTGTCAAAATATGAGTGAAAGATGCACCGAGTTTTCGATGCATCCGTATTACCAAAGATATTCTCCCTTAGGGCATGTTTGTTACATAATATAGGATAAGGCCTTATAGTATAAGACCTGATTAAATTTTAATATTATCCTGCGTTTGGTATGTTATTGTATCAGATAATATCCTCCAATATTTTAAAAATTAATATATTAAAAAAATTATTTTAATATATTAATATTGAAATGATATATAAGTTCTTGAAAATTGTATTTTTAAGCAACATTAATACATCAATCCTTTATCAGGCCTAATCCTACCCCCTTAAGGTCTGTTTGGTGTGACATATAAGGCATGATAGTATAAACTTATACTATACGTTATGACATTTTCAGTTGTTTGATGTGACCATCGTATAGTATAAGCTTATACAGCAGAATCCCTTAATACATCAAAACGACGTATAACTTAATCCGGCCTAAGGGGGAGGGATAAGGCCTGATAAGAGATTGGTGTATTAACATCGTTGACCAATGTAATTTTTAAAAATTAATATATTATTTTTATAAAAATTAATTTATATTTTGAACACACTAATCAATAAATTTTTAAAAAAATTAATATCATATGATATTTTTTGAAGAATTATATAAATTCTTTATTAAAAGAAATTTTTATTAAAAATATTTATTTGTATCCTATATAGTATTATATTGTGCATTACCAAATACTGGATGATATTATCTTATACAATATATTATTTTATACAATACCGTGCCAAACGCTAAATAGTATTAAAATTCAATCAGATCTTATACAATCAAGCCTTATACTATCAGGTCTTATACTATCAGGCTTTATCCTATACTATGCATCAAACATGCTCTTAGGCTTGATTAAGTTATACATTATTTTGATGTATAAAGGGATCCTGCTGTATAAGCTTATACTATACGATGGTCACACCAAACAACTGAAAATGTTATAACGTATAGTATAAGCTTATACTATCAGGCCTCATACGTCACACCAGTCTTTAGGATAGTTAATTTACTAATGTTACATTATGAATGACGTTTCCTTTTTTTTGTGTGGTTTTGGTATAAATAACGATGTGTGTTCTTTAATTTTACAAGTTGAAAAAGCTTTTATATAAAGTTTTTTTTTCTTTATCCAACCTTTGCTCAGTTATTTTTTCTTATTTTTTTAGCTTTGTTTGAATGAATAGGCACATGTATTACGTACGCTAAACAAGCAAAATTTGTCTCCTACTCTGATGACGCATACCACAAACTAGGTGTAAGGCTGATATACATAAGGAACATTTTCCCATACAACAAAACACCTTCCACTTAATCGCCAAGAAAATCGAGTGTTTCCAAGCTTGAAATTCTTCATATAAGACCTAAAATGTCTATGCAAAATACATGATTTCAGACATAAATGAAGCTAAATCGAGAAGGGACATCAAAAGAAATTCAGATAGTGAAAAAATGGCTATAAGATATTTAGTTTGACTAATAATGATTTGATCACTATTCACTATCCAAATTAAGTAACCCAATAAAAAATTGGGTAATATTACTCTTATGTAACATGAGAGTAGTTCTCTCATGTTATAGAGAGAATTCAAGTAGGGCCCGCTATTTAAAAGCAAAAAAGAAAAAGAAAAAAGAAAGGGCACGATTTTTGAAGTGAGAGAAAAGAAGATAATTACCTCATGTAAAATGAGAGTAGTATTTCCCATAAAAATTTTACCCCGTTGCATAATTTAATGCTTTATGTTTATTTCATTTTACATGAGATAAACAATTTTCTTACACTCACAAAAAGATATTGGGTCACATCACTCTTTTCTTTATCTCTCCTCTTATTTGTGAGTTCCACTTATAATTTTATCTCTATAATATAAGATAACTTTTTTACTACAGAAAAATATTTTACTATTTTATTTCCAATTCCAACCCAAAACAAACACAGTAAGTAATGCATAGTATACCGTTATCGATGTGGATAGTACTACTCTGACACGCAAAATACAATATTTATTTGCAAAAGTATTTTCGTCCAGAAATACTTTATCTATTACAAACACATATTTATCACAATTTCACGTTGACTCTTGAATTTTTTAAAAAAAATCAGGATTCGAAAAAAATAAAATCTGATATCGAATTCTAGCTTTTACGTTAAATCCTGGTAAGTATATGTATGTGCCAGATAAATGAAAAATAGAATCTAAAAATATGTTATAAAACCAGCAGAGTAGAAAAAAAATAAAAATAACTAATTATAAAAAAGTCCACATCAGTCCACAGTCCCCACCTCCCTCATATAATATATCCTCCTTCACTAGTCCACCTCAATTCAACCACACCCCAAAAAATCTCTCTCTCTCTCTCAAATTCAGAGTCAGTTGTTCCTTCCTCGGAACTCTAATTTCTGCAATTCCAAAAGTAGAGTGAAAGCATTTGGATGGGGGTAAGCAACAACATCACAGCAGTGCTGAACTTCATAGCCATATTGGCCTCAATACCCATCATCGCCTCTGGAATTTGGCTAGCATCGAAGCCAGCCAACGAATGCATCAACAACTTCCGCTGGATCGTTGTGATCCTTGGCATCCTTATCCTCCTCGTTTCTCTAGCTGGCTTCTTCGGTGCTTACCGGAACAAACAGGTTCTCTTGGCCCTTTACCTTTGCTTCATGGCAATTCTCATCGTTCTCCTCCTTATTCTCCTCGTCTTCGCATTCGTCGTCACCAGACCCGATGGAACCTACGGTGTTCCCGAAAGAGGGTACAAGGAGTACAGGTTGGACGGGTTCTCCGCATGGTTGAGGAACCACGTCACCAGTTCTGGAAGTTGGAACAAGATTAGGGCCTGTTTGGCTGATTCTGATATCTGCACTGAGCTCGCCCAGAATTACATCACTTCCGATCAGTTCTTCAACTCTAATATCTCTCCCTTACAGGTAAATATATAGGTCATAACTCATATTATATAGAACGAAATTTAGCTTCTTTGTTATTAGTGTTTCCTCTTTTTAAATTTTAATTTTTTTAATATTAAAAATAATAATATTAAATATAGGCCGGAAACAAACAAGTCACTTAAATTATTGTTTCTATGATTTTTAAAAGGCATTTACTCCGCATTTGTCGTAGGCTCAGGCCCACATCACATGACACCATGTTACATGTTTTACAACATTTCCAATGGCTCAATTTGAGAATTAATATACATATATATAGAAAACAACTTCTAAGTTCTTGATGGATATAGCAGCCCAAGCTCGAGGGACCTCCTCATCATCAGCTTAAATAAACCTGATATAATACATAGGAATAGGAGAGTGGATCTACAAGGTTTTATTTCATGGGTTTTATTTAAATTGCTTGAATCTTCCATATACACAGCTCTCATAAGTATAAGATTCCTTAGGTCAGGTTGGTAATAAAAGTCAATTGAGCTTGATGTCCTTCCCGGTGGACTATGTCCCAAGGAGTGGTTGAGAAATTACTCAATTACGACGGTAGTTGGGAAAGAATGGCTCCGTGACTTTTTAAGTGGGACCAATAGAGATTCTAAATAAATATGGATTATATTGAAATTTTGCACTGAGCTATTCATGACATGCATTAGTTAAATATATTGTGCTTGTTTGTTCCAAATTTAAAATGTGAAAACAATTATTACAATTTATTGTTGTAACAAACTACTTATCATATCATGAAAAATTTTCAACCTAGTTTTCCATCTTATTCTTAACTTGACACACCACATATAGCATGGAATAATTTTTAGTTTGCAAATTGAGGTTAATACTTACTTAACAGGCACCCCCAAGCCGTAGTCTGACCTACCATAGCAGAGAATTTAGTTCTGAATGGTGTAATTTAGAGAATATTAATTAATAAAAATACATTTCTCTCTTCGAGTCAAATCTTCCCCGGTATTAACGCGGTGTCCATACAAATCTAACCGCCATGTCCATTTTGTAAAATTTCCATGTCTTAAATCAGCATGACTTGAGAATGCATTATTGGTAGTAGACAATGGACATATCCCTTGTTACCAGCTTGTATAACCATATTCTAGTGCTGTGTGGGACCATTCCCATAGTCTTCACGGGTGATGATGGAGTCCTTGGAAAGGTCTATGCTGCTAAAATAGCTACTTATCAATTCACATGTAGAGAAATTATATCAATTTAAAGTTGGGTTAGATTTATCTCATTTTACATGAGATAAACAATTTTTTTACACTCAAAAAAAAAGATTAGGTCTCACTACTCTTTTTTCTCTCTACTTTTATCTGTGGATCTCACTTATACTTTTATTTTTACAACATAAGAAAAATATATCCCTTTAAAGTTTGTTTGTTTCTGCTTTTTCAGGAGCAAAATAAAATAAAAAACACAAAAAAAACTCATTAAAGAGAATAATGTACTTAAAGATCCCCAAGTGCGTTCATTTAGTCATTACTCGGTTTTATTTACACGAACCAAATTTTGGTCTCAATTTTGCCATATTTTTTTTTATTTCATAACAGTAAGTGCAGGATATATGGATTTATCTATTTCAAGTCAAAAACGGATCTTGTAATATTTTTTTAACTATAACTAATTTTCTATTTTTCTATTTTTTAATAGAAGAACATGTTTAAAATATGTTACGATAATTAGATAACTTTTTAAGAACATAAAAAAGTAATTTTAGTATAAAAATTGTAAAATGTAGTTATATCGTAAAAATACTTTGTTATGTAATGGTTGCCAGCTCGTGGCCTGCATATAGCGACATGGTTTGTTAGTTGTTCGCCCTTCTTTTCTGTCTTATTTCTATCCTCTCTCTTTTTTTGTACTGAAAATAACAATAATTAAAAATAAAACTTTTATATTCCTCGTACGAATAATCAATTGGTTTGATTGGTTTTAATTACAGTCAGGATGTTGCAAACCACCGACTGCTTGCGGGTACAATTACGTGAGCCCCATAGTGTGGACAAACCCAGTGAATCCAATGGCTGATCCAGATTGCAACTTGTGGAACAATGACCAGAACCAGCTATGCTACAATTGCAATGCCTGCAAGGGTGGTCTATTGGGGAGCCTCAGAAAAGAATGGAGGAGAGCAAATATCATTCTCATTGTGGCTGTTGTTGTCCTTATATGGGTCTATCTCATTGCTTGTAGTGCCTTCAAGAATGCCCAAACAGAAGATCTCTTCCGCCGTTACAAACAGGGTTGGGTTTGATGATCCTCTTTCCTCCCAACACCTACCATGCATGTTTTTAACATTACTCTTTCTTTATCGTCCCTGTAACTCCCTAATAAGAGTCTCTGTCTTTAGTATGTATGTATATATATATATATTTTTTTTCCTTTTAGTTCTTTCTTTTTGGCGCATGGAGAGCCAAAAGGTAAAACAAGTTATAAATGACTCTCGTTGCTCAGTGAAAACAGAGAATAGAATATTCCTAATAATTACCTTTCCTCTGCGTATGATGAGATTAGTTCCATATTAAATGTTATTGTATTTTTCTTGTAAATAAAAGTATTTAATGCTGCTAAAATAAAAGGCATGCAGTGTGGAGCTCTAGCACACTGAAATATTGTGGCTGAGGGTGGCGTTAACAAATTAGAAGGGCACGACGAGGAACTCAAAATAGCCCTTGTCTTTGCAAAAATTTGTTAAAAAAAATATACTCATGATGCATTTGAATTTGGTTATGACCATGTTGAAAATAATCAAGTATGAGTTGTAAAGAAGTACCACATAGACTAGACATAGACCAAGTGATGACCATATAAGTGTGAAAGACCCATAAACCTGCAGCCTTAAGGTTTTGGGTTAAGATGTGGTGTCGGCCCACTTATTATGGTTTGTCATTTGGCTCATTGGAGGATGTACCCTTTGCAAAGAGTTTTGGGCTCCCTCGTTCCATTCCCAACAGACCAACCATATGAGTCTATATTTTAGAGAAATGGGCTCCTCCAAAATGATTAGACTTATACTAAGGCCAGAATAATACCTGCAGACAGCATCTCTGCCACTAGCTTTCCAATTTCATTCTTATGCTAGCTAGTAGGGTATCTTCAAGGCCTAACATTAACCGGATCAACTCCAGTTTTCATAGGGATCCTGTGATCAACTTCGTGGCAGGGAGGTAATCCTTCTGGAAGGAAAACCAATGGAATATCTATGGAGCAAGTACTAGAGTTGAGATCATTGTCGGGGGTTATTCTCTGCTCTGTCATTCTCCAATTCTTCCTTTCACTCCTCCTTTTGGCATGTTATTAATTTTATATAATGTACTCTCTCTTTTTGTCTCTATTTTAATTTTAATTTTAAAGAATAAATAAATAAAAATTTCCCTTCCTTTTTGTTTCTATTTTTCTTTGCTTATTTTTTTTATAGGAAGGATCCGTTTACAATTTTTTTTTACAAACTCCATTAAGTATGACTGGTCATACACTCTTGATTAGCATATGATCAGTCAGACATAATATAGTTTGTAAGAGTTTGTAAACAAAAAAATTTGTAAATATAATCTTCCCCATTTTTTTTATTCTTATAAACTTGAAACTTGATAACATGCCAAACATAGTACCTTATACTGCTCTGTGATGGTTTGATCAGTCTGGGACTTTTCCCGTTTAAATTTACCAATGTGATATTTGGTTGGAAGTTATTATCGTTTGGGGTCTTTGAGTGCTGCAGGGGAACCCAATGACTCTAAATCACGCCCACAGTCCCCTGCGTCACTTATGTGATTTTTTTTTTTCAGACACAATGTCACCCCACCCCCATCGGCACTAATTTTTTTTTATTATTACTTAAGTGCCGCTCATCCCCTCAACAACACTCATTTAAAATTAACCTTTTTTTAATTATTTGAGTGTCGTCCCTCCTCTCACGGGAACTCGGACGGCATGTCAAGTGGCACGACCTCAGCCATCCGAGCCCCACATTATCCTATTTTTACTTTCTATCGCTTTCACAATTTCAGATCTGTAAACATTCTTCTATCTCTCTCTTTTTCTATTTCCAGCATTCTCTTCTCCTTTGTTTTTTTTTTTTTTTTTTCTATTTGAAGAGACATACTAATTTTTGGTTGCATCAAAACGAAGCACTCTTCCAAAGCAAAAAAACTCTAAGGCAAGTAAGTTAACATCATTGTCATTTTATTAATTAACTAAAATCATTTAATTTTTTTAGTGGTTGCAGGTATTTGACATAATAATATTTAGAATACGCTAGTTTTTTTTTTTTGTATCTAATACACTAGTTTTTTTTACTAATACAAGCATGTGTGCAATTAATTATATTTATATAGTTGTCAAAATAATTAGTCATTGGAAAATAGTGTTTAATATTTTAATAATTTGATTTAAAATAATTAATTTGTAAATATTTAGGGTTTCTTTTAACTAGAAATAGTTGTTATAATTTTTGCAATTAATTATTTTGTGTTACCCTAATAAACATAAACATGTATAATTAAAAATATATATATATTTTAAATAATAATTAATTTTTTATGTTCATATGTAATTAATTATATTTACATATTTGACATAATAATTAGTCATTGATGAGTAGAGTTTAGTATTTTAATAATGTAATTTATAATGATTAATTGTTATTAATATTTAGGGTTTGTTTTAATTAGTAATAGTTGTTATAATTTTAAATTAATTCTTTTGTGATATCCTAACATAGGCATGTATATTTAATATATAGAGATTTTACATAACAAAATATATTTTTATGTTGATGTGTATAATGTTTTTATATTTAGATATTTGACATAATAATTAGTCATTGATGAGTTGTGTTTAGTATTTTAATAATATAATTTAGAATAATTAATTTGTTATTAATATTTAGGGTTTGTTTTAATTAGTAATAGTTGTATTAATTTGAAATTAATTCTTTTGATATATCCTAACATAGGCATGTATAATTAAAAGATATTTTACATAGTAAAATATATTTTACTATGAAAATATATTTTTATGTTAATGTGTAATTAATTACATTTAGATATTTGACGCAATGAATTATATTGTGATATCCTAACATAGCTAATTTGTAAATGGATAGCTAATTTGTAACCATACTACTAGTTATTAGAGTACTGTTGTAAATGGATAGCTAATTTGTAACCATACTACTAGACACTAGACACTAGTTATTAGAGTAGCATTTTTAGCTTTACTAATTTGGGCGAAACCAAGAAAGGCCTATTTTTTTTTTTTTTTGTAAATAAAGAGGGGCTAAGCCCCAAAGAAAGGCCTACTTTAGCTGGCATACGGAGTGAATGAGGGAAAGAGATAAGATAAGAAAATGCTTCATTCAGTAAACCAAAAATTAAAACGTAAATGCCCTTGGGACATTTGTGGCACATAAAAGAAGAGATCTAGTGGCAATGCAATATAAAAGTCTATATAATGTGCCCAAATCCAATGCATATATAACCAAAGGAGATTATGCAAATCTTATAAAATTATAGAATAAAAAGCAAAATTACCAAATTAATAAACAAGATACTTCACGCAAACTAATATTACCCGATTATAACAACAATAAGACAATATTAAAAAAAAACAATAATTATACAAATGGAAAATTAATAAAAATAAAATCCAATATACCTTTTCCGTTTTCAATTTCTGTCTCATCCTGTATTTATGACTGGGAAGGATTCTAACACCTGCAATTTGATAATAACTCAAGCATAACAAAAAATGAATAACAATCGCTATCAATAAGTTTTAGACGACTGACCCAGTTAAAAGAGAGAGAGGAGGGAGAGTGTGTGTGTGTGGGGGGGGGGCAATAATGGCATGTTGAGATCCAATATCTATCTATAAAAACCAAGGCTCTCTAATATTGAATCTCATTCTCCTTCGTTGTCCACCAAAATCCAATTCCAAATGGATCGACTGGGATTCGTAATTGAAGCATCCGAAGCCCAATCCATGGCAGAAGCTTCGGGCCTCAGTCTGACCCAATTGCTCCCATCTCTGGTCAACTCCGCCCAAACCCTTGCCCGTCCACCTATTTCCAACTTCCACGTCGCCGCCGTCGGCCTCGCACCTTCGGGTCGGATCTTTGTCGGAGTCAATCTTGAATTCCCGGGTCTCCCTCTCCACCACTCCATCCACGCCGAACAGTTCCTTCTCACCAACCTCTTCCTCAATGACGAAACCCACCTCCACTCATTCGCCGTCTCCGCCGCCCCCTGCGGCCACTGCCGCCAATTCCTCCAAGAACTTCGCGGAGCACCCGACATCCAACTCCTCATAACCTCGGATCCGAACCGAGAATTCACAGCCTTATCCCACTTTCTCCCACACAGATTCGGACCCCACAACCTTCTCTCCCAAGATTCTCCTTTTCTGTTGGAGCAACATCACAACAGGTTAACGCTTCTCACAACAACCCATCAACAATATGAATATGAACATGAACACGAACACGAACACGAACACGCTGATTCATCGTCACTACCCAATGGCGTTTGCAATGGTCACGCGCTTGATGAAAAGTTGAAGTTTGTGGCTTTGGAAGCTGCCAACAAATCTCACGCACCCTATAGCGATTCTCCCTCAGGTGTGGCTCTCGTGGATTGTGGTGGAAACGTGTATAAAGGCTCTTACATCGAATCTGCAGCGTTTAACCCCAGCTTGGGGCCCTTGCAGGCGGCGTTGGTTGCCTATGTCGCCGGCGGCGGCGGCGATTATGACCGGATTGTGGGTGCAGTGTTGGTGGAGAAGGATGAAGCTACGGTCAAACAAGAACAAACTGCGAGGTTGTTGCTGCATTTGATTTCGCCAAATTGCCAGTTCAAGACATTCCTTTGTTGCTGCTCTCAGCCTTCACCCTAATCGTACCACAGAAAAAAAAAAGGATTGTTGTTTTGTCTCAGTGGAATATTCAGTGGTAAACTGAATCTGACGCTCATGGATGACCAATGGATGGCGGTATATAATAATAATAATCCCTCATTATATGTCTTTTGTGGTTGAAATATTATAATGAAAACGTTTTTAATTCTAATTGCATTGATTTACTTTTATATAATTATAATTTTATCACATTAATACATGAGAGGAGAGTATCTACTCTCAAAATTATCATGCTTTATCTACTGTCTTCGTGTGCTAATATATTCGTAACTATGTCATATTTATAACCGAGTAGATTACTATTTGTTGTTTAGAATTTCCTCTATGACACTTGTAATGTAACGAGTTTATCTTCCGTGGGCAACTGGGTAAAACGAAGAAGCACAATCAAACGTGTACGGAAGTGTTCAAGCCCACCTGGCAATTCTTCAGTCAAGGTTCTTTTATTAGGGTGCCGCCTTTTGTCCATATTATAATATCAAGACAGGTTGTGGACCAATCCCTTGAGCTTTGTCCATAGATGTACTAAAAGTGTTGATATGATACTGTTCAGTAAAATTTGAACGGAAACAGTCCACCCAGCGACGCGAGCCCTTTAATTACAGTATTAATCCAATGCATTGTGATAATCCCCCCTTATTTTTTGGGTATATATAATACTAATAATATAAATGTATTAGGTGAAAGAAAAAGGCTAGGGTAGCAATTTGTTTAAAACCCTTTTAGGTGGTACTTTAGGGAAGTATTTGATATCAGTGTCATCCTGCTGTCATAAAAGCTTGGTGTTTTAGCCTCTATATCGGCATCCAAGTAAGTGGCACTAGTACTTTTTGGTCCACTTCTTTTTGCCCTCAAAATTTGGTGGTTTGTGGAGTATGATTTGGTAGAGCACCCTCCAGCGTTTGAACCTTTTCAGCACACCTCAAGTTTATTCGAAAGAGTGTCAAAAAAACTACCAGCATAGGTTATAATAATTTCGTACAAGTTCTTCCCATAGTTCATTCACATCAAACACATCTTTTTTCCTAATAACCATTCCAAGATAGCGTACATGCTAATATAAAATGTTTCTTATATGCGCCAACTATGATAAATAACACAATTTAGGTAAAAAGCAAAGTGGAAAAGTTGAGTTTATATGCTGCGTGAATATATAGTTCTTAATAGGGGCAGTTTCACTGAATCGTTCCCACCCATAACCACAAAAGGAGGTTAGGAATTAAAGAGTAAAGAAACCCCATTATAATGAAAACTGTGAGGTTGCTATCATCACAGCAGCATTTCCCTTTATCCTACACATCCAAGCAGTTGACGTTGTAAAGAACATTGTCAGCTTATCAAACGGGACTGGATGCTCTGTATGCATATTGAATGGTGGGACAGCTGGAATGGACTGAATTATTAGTTAGAAACCACGAGTGATAGTTATTATTAGCAGATTATGATGTCAAACTTGCTCTCAATTATCTACACTCAGTTGTACAAAACAAGTTTGAACCAAGAAAAAAAGAGTATCAATAAGAGACTAGATTCTGGGATTAAGATAGCTTTAGAGAGAAAAAAAGGGGAAGAGTGGTTGGTTAATTATGAACCAATCAATCAAGAAGCCAAGGGAAGTGAAAAGAAATCTAAAATTTCATGTGATTCTAGATTATGACAATAGTATCTCCAGATGGGACAATTCTAATTTCTCTACAAACATAAAGTAAAAGAAGACGAGATTTAGATTTCTTGGTACAATCTCATTATAGCATATGCAACACAATCATTAGCCCAACACAGATACATACTCACTGTCACATTATATGTTACAGTGTTACATTGGTAAGAATAAAAGCAAATCGAACATGCCCAACAACAACATCCAACAAATGCTCATTGTAGGGAATATAAGCTTTTGTCTCAGTAGCATTTCAAAAGAGATTTAGATTTCTTGTTACAATCCCTACTGCTATATGACTTCATTCATAAAGAACAGATCCTCCGTCTGTCTCATTATATCATAGACCAACACAATCATTAGCCCAACATAGAGAGACTCACTGTCACATTATATGTTAATAAAAGCAAAACTATTGTGCTTAACAACAAAAAATAGCCAACAAATTCTGATTTTAGAAAGCATAAACTTTTGGGATAGTTGGTTCATAATATGGTATGAGAAATGGGTTAGAATTCAATCATATGCATTGTGCATGCATGCTCCAAGCCTGATGGCCTTTCCCTAACAATAGACTGATTATTATACCGAGCAAACTGAGAAAGAGAATGGACAACATGACATAAACATAATTTGCATGAAAAAAGTCCGTTGTTTGTCTGATAGTCTAGGGTTAGGAAAATAACTGCATGTCTTACAATTTTCATCTTACGGCTCCTATGGCCCAAATAGGGACATTCAGTTCTTATTCTTTATAAACTAAATTTTGGTTACGGTCATACTGTGTGTGACTTTAGAAACTGATTGTATAGTCATGACTCTGCTTTAAGTTTAGGGAAACAATTCTCTATTTATCATGTAAACATTTTTCAAAGAAACAAAAAAAGAGGTATTTAAGCACAAAAAAGAAATGACAACTGGGACTAGCCGTAAGGAAGGTTCTGTTTTCTAATATGTCCCACGCATGAAAGTTCAACTATGCTGATAATGACAGAAGTTAAGGATTTGTTTATTTTTAAGAAGGAAATAAGTCAATCTCCAAGATCCATATATTCAATTTTGATAAGCAATGATGCTCTATACCCTCTATATGCACAATAAGAACGATTACGAGAATATGTTAGTAAATTCAAAAACCATATACAATCCTTCATTCCCGCCTAATAATATAAGGAAATTAAGTCCTAAATTGTTCTCTCATTTTCTACTAGGTGGACTGGTGATGCAGAAACTAGCACAGAAACACAGGTGGTGTTGAAAAAACAGCAGGGATGAGGCTGGGTGGAAACAAACACAGGACACTGTGATACTACTTCATATGAATAAAGAAATATTGATTCGCAGGCCAGTGTAGCTATAGCTGAATTTAAGTTTTATATTAGTGAAGGAGTTACACATTCTATATCAGCTATAAGAGCTCTGACTATTGCATAAAACATGAAACTAATGCAGACAAGGAGTTATTAAATTTTAAACTTCATAATTGGTGAATTTATGAGAAGGGAAGATCAACCAACAGATATAAGAAAGTAAAGCAATTTAAAGATGGAAGCAGTTTTGGGTTTGAACTTCAAATCCATGTATACTCATTTGTAGGTGATATGTAACCCCACCCTATAAAACCCTTCACTTGGAATGTGGGGAGGTTCCCCTCACCCTAAACATTAATGGAAAAAAAAAAATCGAAGGAAACAGTTTAGTTCCAGCAGAATACTAATCGAAATTAACCAGAGTCTATGTAGAAGAAACATCACAGATATGAAGTATAACATGAGAAGAAGTTAGAGATCCAAATGGGGATCTCACTCTATCTCAAGAACATCAAAATCCTGCGATCCTATATTACTTCCCCTATACTTGTGGAGCTCATAACAAACAAATTCAGAACCAAATATATGGAAGTACCTTTATTATTTACGTGCAACTACACATAACTAATCTAGGGATCCCTTTCTGCAAGTTCATATTTCTGATCTGAGCATCTCTCCTGGAGAGCAAATTATCAAGCAGCTTAGCAATCAAATATGCAACTTACTAGTTTTCCTTAGCTGCAATGCTGTGAACCATAAAAAAGCACTCGCATAGGTTTATGCACCAGATAGAAGAACAGACTCTGAAAACGAGGCAGAGCCATTATTAGGCGCACCCTTTATCTTGAGAATAGAGGTAACCAAATTATAAATCTGAACATTCTCAAATGATGGTATCTTCCTCCCTCTTGCAAATTGAGGACCGTGTCCAATGAAAATGGTCCTCATGGAGAAAATGGCATTGTCATAACCATGTGAACCGCCACACTCTTGGCGCTTTGTTTTCTTCTGCTCAACCTTGAAACCTTCTTCAAGCAAACCAATTATCGGCGGAATCCGATCACTTGCTGCATAATGAAGCCGACTGGGTAGATCTTCCTTCAGATACACCCTCAAATTATTCCCATTATCAACTTTCCCCGAGCTCAATCCTTCATTCATCTTAGTAACAACATCTGATGGAGCATTACCAGGAGGTGGGCGAATTGCAAGTACTGGAGTATAGGTCAGGACCCAATTTTTCGGTATATCAATCCAAGGAGCCAAATCATCAAGGAAAATCAACTTCTTATCACATGTGCCAACCATTCCATGATCACCTACCATAATAATACTAACATCCTCAAAAAACCCTCTTTGTTCCAACCCTCTAATCAACCTCCCGATCAAGCTATCAATTCTAGCAACAGCTTGAGTGATCTCAGGATCATCAGCTCCAACCCGATGACCCTGATGATCAGGGTCCTCAAAATAAAGTGTCATAAAATCAGGAATTTCATCACTAGGCAAATCAAAATACTTCAAAACCGTATCAACTCTTTCCTCAAATGGAACAGAACCATTATACTGCCTACAATAATTCACAGGGCAAGTCCAAGAACCTTTATTTACCTCAGAACCTGGCCAAAAATACGTAGCAGCCTTCAACCCATTGTTGACTACAGTCTCCCACAAGGGTTCCCCCAACCACCACTTGGGGTCATGGCTTCCCATATAAAACGCTTCCCCAGAGAGTGGATCAAAAAAATGGTTATTGATTATGCCATGATAAGCAGGGTAGAGTCCAGTAACAATAGAGTAATGATTTGGGAAAGTTAGAGATGGAAAAACCGGAATCAACCCTGTTTCAGCCTCGGTTCCGTTTGCAATCAAACGGCCAATATTGGGTGTGGAGGTCTTGAATTGGTACCCAAATCGAAACCCATCTGAGGAAACCAAAAGGACCACAGGGCGCTTGAGCTTTGTGAGAGGACGAGCCACGGCGTTGATGGAAGCTTGGGTGTGAGTGGATGAGGAAGAGAATAAGAGGAAGGCAAAGGCAAAGGATGCTGAGACAGCAATGCAGGTGATGATGATAAGAGAGATGAAGAGGGGTTTGTGGGAAGAGGATGATGCGGGATAAGAAGAAGAAGAAGAATCAGTGTTGAAAGATAGAAGAGCTGTTGATGATGGTGAGTCTTGTTCATCTTGGGTTGGAATTGGTGTTGGTTTTGTTGAAGTCAATGCAGATAAAGGATCTGAACCCATGTTGGGAGGGAAGGGAAAACTAACTAGTTTTCTTTTGGTGTCTATGTAATCTTGCTGCTGCTGCTTCTTCTTGTCGTTGTTCTTCCCAGGTTACGGATCATGGGTTTAGGTAGAAAAGAGAGAAGCTTGAGTGAGATCCAAGGATTTGGGATAATGGGTTAGAGTTGGAGTTGCAGGAACTGTTTTTTGTTGGAGGAGGATCGCTGTCAAAGTCAAAAGACAATGTTTAAGGTCATTAGTGGTTTGTTGGTTGGACTCATTTAGAAGATAATGGAGTAAGAAAGAAAGAAGCAGGCTTTGTCGATAATTAACATGGTACAATAAAAATTAAATAAATTTATCTACTTTTTTATTTTATCAAGTTATAATATGCCATAATATTAAAAAGAAAATTATTTCTTATAACATTGAATTTAATAATTAATAAATTAAGTTGCTAAAAGTTACATTGGAAGAGCGTTGGGAGTATTTGGTGCATCTTGGATTCCTTTCCTAGCATACCAACTGTTTTATATTCTACAATCTTGAAACTTCAAATATTACGCCAACCGAAGCATAGCTTCTTCCATATGCAACTTAATTATTCATCAATGATCATTATTTACGGAATGATATATATACTTAGTTCAGTTGTCAAACACACAGGTTTACCTTCCTTTGTGGTCTTTGGACTTAAGATTGGTAACTGGTCTCTGTAAAAGGAAACTTTATTTTATTTTATTTTTTGTTTTCTGGAACTATTAATTGAATTTCATTGAGCTGGGTGGCACCGAGCCAACTTAATTATTTCTCATTTTGCCGGTGTGAAGTGCGCGAAAATGAAGGTATCCCCCTGAAATTATTTTAAAATGAGAAATGATATTACCATTTGTTGAATTTAGATCTTTTAACTACATCACAGTGATTATGCTTTGTTTTGTTTACATTGAATTATTGGGTTTATTCGATTTATTAAAAAAATAATATACAGTATCAAAAGTGTGTTATAAAGAACTCCATACAAAGAGAAAAAGAGGTCAGTCAAAACTTATTTGGAGAAAAATAGTAAAGCAACACTTAATCTCATTTTGCCGGTGTAAAGTGCGTGAAAATGAAGGTATCATCACCTTTCCTGGAATTATTTTAAAATGAGAAATGATATTACAATTTGTTGCGTAAAGATAGATTGACAGTTGTCATAAATTTTAAAATCTCCCATCAAAATCTCATGTAGCCATACATCGTATTCAATTTATATTCATGCAAAGATCGAAAATAACTTGTCCTCTCTCTTCTTTTTTTGACGAGGAGTCCTAGCTAGTCCTTTCGTACTCATCATATATTAGTATGGTTTATAAAGAGGAAAATAATATCCAAGCCCCATAAGGTTTAAAGCCCTTATCTCTCCTCAGTTTTCTGGATGCGAAATGTCATTATTACTTGTTGCAAACGAAAGAAACAGCAGATCTGTTTTTGAATAGTATATTTGTAGGTGAGGATCATGGGAATTTGGAACAAACTTTGAATCAAAACATTGGAGTTTGATTAATTTTATCAGTGAATAAAAAAAATAATTAAAAAAAAAAACACGATAAAATAAAAATCTGAGACTAATGTAGTAAAAAAAAAAAAAAAAAAACTGAAAGTCTACCTCTGGCCCTTTAACTTGAGAGGCAGGTAAGGTAACATTATTAATTCTAGGGTTTGTGTAAGACTCTTCCAGCCAGCAGAGCGGCTTCCATGACAACATTGATAACTTGAATAACATCATCCACTTGACATCTGTTTCCCTTGAATGTAGGAGCTCCTGAGTTCTTAAATATGTTCATACAGTCTATGAATGTTTGGCTGCACTCTTGGCTCAGGTAGTCATCTGCATAACATCATCATTAAATTAATAATTACCTTCATAATCATAGCTTTCAAAGGTACACACATACAAACTGTCACATACATATATATCCCTATTTAGCTCTCCTATGACCTTCTTCTTTAATCAGAGAGTTTAACTTCTTCTTTTATTTCTCTCCTATTTAACCACACCCTCTTATCAATTGGTCCACATGCTTGGTGGTATACAGTATCCACAAATTCTTTGTACTACAAACACCGTTTAGGGAAACTATAGTTGAAGATGCCAAGGTTTTTGTGTTGATAATCATGGGAACTCACATAACAGGTCGTATGAGAAACTTGGAACATTGGAAGATAAATGTAACATAACAACACGGACATTGCTAAGGCAAATTTGCTTTTGCTTCTAAATCCTCCATTTTCTTATTGGATAATTATAGTGGCTGTACCACTTCCCCTGTAACTTTAAAAAAATAATTAAAGTGAATAAAATGATATTGTATTTACGAAAGGCAATAAAACCATATAAAAATAAGAATAGATCAATTAGCATATTTTATGGTTAAAAATATATCACGAAATGCTTCATATTGTCACTTTGTCAACACCTAAAGAGAAAAGACATATACTGAGAATATGCTAAGAATATGCACTTAAAACATATACTTCACATCAGATTTTAATTATTACTTTTTGTTAATTTTATTTTTTAAATTTTAGTTTTGTCCTGTTATAGAGGAGGTTCAAAAAGTTTATATGGAGATGCTGCGAGGCATAGATGAATACATTCAATAACAGAGATGCCTAAGAATCTCACCTTACCCTTTTCGGATCTCACCTTCTCCAACAGGACCAAGGGATCAACAGGGCTTCCATTTCTCATAGCTGTTTATATATCATTTCTGAACAGACTAAATGATTCAATCTCTTACTATATCAAACTAAATGGTTTATCTTAGGTTCAAAAGTACAACAAGAGACAGTATAAAAAAGAACCAAATTGAAGATCTAGCCTTAAAAGAACATGAGAATACTAGTTCCATCCATCCTGTCACACACACCCAACAGAATCTGAGGTATTGAAACTATTCAATTAAATATGGATCATCCAAGCCATAATATGAGATGTTTGAATCAAGGAATTAATAATGTATAAAACTCAACTCACTGTTTTTGGCTTGCACACATCGATCATGATTCATGCAACAAGCATCAAGACCATCACAAGGTCTCTCCCCAGGGCATCCACTATACAGAAGCCCACAGTACTTGCCATATCTCAATAATGGAGGCACTGCCATTCCAAAAATCATACAATTAGTAAATTTTTTGTTTGTCCCAGGGGCTTCATAAATTAATCAAAACCTTAATTCTTTCAGCAAAGTTTTCAACTGCAAAAAGAGAAAAAAAGGAAATTAGACTAGTACCTGAACAGAAGCTTGACTCACATTTTCTGCTGCACTCTTTGCTCTGCAGTTGAAAAAAAAAAAGACCAAAGGGGAGAGAGAGAAGAATTATAAACTTAATGTCTTTCTGTTTTAACTTAAAAAAAAAAAATGTGTTTGCAAATATTGGGATAGATGAAAAAAGAAACGAACCACAGAGACAGTGATTCCGGTGGTTTCAACTCCTATGTTGAGGGCACAGACGGGAATGGATAAGAAGTTGATGACAAAGATGCAAGAAAAGAATATGAGAGCATAATTGAGTGACTGAGTTGGAACCATTTTTGTGGAAAGGCAAGCCAAAAGGAAGAAAAAAAAGTGAGATTTTTTATGACTGGTTTTGCTTGAAGGCTCTGATTTATAGGAGAGAGGGAGAGTGACAAAAAAATTAGCGTACTGTCACGTCAACAGTAAATTTTGTCAAAATGACACACGGCATAATTCGTTATATAGTGTAGCGAATTATGTATGTAAGTAATTCGTTATACAGTGTAGCGAAATATGCCACGTCAAAGCCAAAAATGTCACATGTCAAATTTTGTAAAATTCGCTACCCTATGTAGCAAATTTTGCAAAATTTGACATGTGGCATTTTTGGTTCTGTGTGTTCTGACGTGGCATATTTCGCTACACTGTGTAGCGAATTACTTGCATACATAATTCGCTACACTGTGTAGCGAATTATGCCGCGTGGCATTTTGGCAAAATTTACTGTTGGCGTGGCAGTCTGATAAATTTTTTGTCCAAACGTGACACTTTGGTAACTGTTCCCAGGAGAGAAGGGCAGAAAACTAAGGGGAGAGTGACCATTTTGCCACGTTTCGACAAAAAAATTACCAAACTGCCACGCCAACAGTAAATTTTGCCAAAATGCCACGCGGCATAATTCGCTACACAGTGTAGCGAATTATGTATGCAAGTAATTCGCTACACAGTGTAGCGAAATATGCCACGTCAGAGCCAAAAATGCCACATGTCAAATTTTGCAAAATTCGCTACTTGCAAAATTTGACATGTGGCATTTTTTGTTCTGTGCGTTCTGACGTGGCATATTTCGCTACACTGTGTAACGAATTATGCCGCGTGACATTTTGGCAAAATTTACTGTTGGCATAGCAGTGTAGTAATTTTTTTATCCAAACGTGGCACTTTGGTCAGTGTTCCAACAGTGAATGAGTGAGTGAGTGAAAAGTGTTAGGGTCCACAACAAAATTCTGTAGACTTTGACAGAACTCAGAAAGACAGAGTGAAGGTTTTGTTTTGTAGTAGCTCGTGAGTGGTTACTTTTAATATCATCATCATTATTTTATACATTGTTTTGTAGTATTTCTTAGTGCCCTCTTTCTTCCTTTAATTAGCTGCATTGCATTACATTTTAATAACAAGAAATGGTCCCTTTTCTCGTTGAGGTTACGCGCGTTCTCTAGCTCAACTCTTAAATAACTTGAAGCGGTGGAACTTACCGTACATGAAATGGAAGGCCAAGTGGCTATAATTACTATTAGTGATTACCAAATCATATTAAATAACAGAAGTTGAAGCAACGAAAATTTGTTACTAAGATGCGTTTGGCATCATGATATGTTCTGTCTCAATCTAATAATTAAATGCTACCTAAACCTTTTTTTAACCTGAAATTAAATTCTGTATTATAACTCGATTATTTTCATTTTAAATTCCAATCATTTGAATTGGATATTGTTTATTATCCAAATGAATGCATTGCGTAATAAAATATCCAAGTTGTACCTTCAACTCCCTTCTACGTAACGTAAGGATCAAACATAATATTTCTATCTAGAATTTTTCCTAACCTAATTTCCCAAGAAACGAATAAACAATACTTTTTACCAAATTTGATTTGGAGGGGTCACCTGTATTTCATGAATGCTCATTGTTGACGTTGCAAACGTTCATACAAGAATACACAACCATAAATAATATAGGGCTTTTGAGTCCCAATTATCATTCTCATAAAGATCTTGGCAATGTGAATTAATTGCAAATACTAAACTGAAGAAAAATAAAAATTATCCATAAGAGGAACAAAAAAAGAAAAATAACAGAAATGTAATGTATAGACTTCTTTTTGGATTTAAATCAAAGTTACTTGTGAACTGTTGGTTTATGTGTAAGGAAAATAAAGATACAAAAATAACTTCAATCTAAAATTTCATTTTGGCTTTCTGGACTATTCTATATGTTGTTCATTTTAAAATGCAGCAAGGAAAAGTCCCAGGGAATTAAAATCAGAACAAACAAGAGATAAGATTGGGTAAAAATATTTATAAAAAAAATCAGGTTGAGCTTTCGGTTTACCCTCCCCACATCATTGAAAGAAATGCTAATTACAAATTGCTCAATTCAAATTTTCAGTTAACGGATCACTCTTGTTGATTTTAATCTCTTAAAATCATTTTATCCACAACCTCCATTCACACATCTCTGTGCTAAATGCAGTGAGGACTCTTGTATTTTAAGTCCAAAGTTACATGGTGGATGCCCTCATCTCTAAATGACAACCCTTGAATGATCTCTCATTCAAGCTCATGTGCTTAATGCATTTTCGATAAGCAGCTACCTCTCGATAACTTCTTCCTAATTAAACATCTAACATCATGCCTAAATGCAAAATGTTTAGACAACAAGTATTAGACAACAAGTATGGCATTAAACAACTGAGAATTAAAATTTAACAACAGTAATTAGCAAGCATTCAACACTGAGGTTCAGGTAACCTAGACCCAACCTTTAAGGGTTTAGCTCCGATCCATAAGAATGGAGCTACAAAAACAGCAAACGAAAATTAAAAAGAAATTACAACTCAAATGGAAATTATGATGCAGAAGCTATAACCACAAAATAGCTCTACTACAATGCTCAGAAACAAAATTACAAACTACTCAGCAAAATAAAATTGCAGAAAGAAAAGAAAAGAAAAGAAAAGAAAAGAAAAGAAAAGAAGAAGACCAAGAAGTCCCCTACATGGTGCTAATTGCTCCATTTATAGTGCGTCTTCTACACATATATGGGCATTGGGCTCTACTTTCTGCCTTCACACGCATTTCTTCAAGCGCGTCAATCACAAATCGTGCGATCCTCACTACTGCAATGATTATCCACGCTCCACAGCTCCACTCTTGCACCTCACCACTGAATCGTAACTGCCTCAAACTCACCACTTAGTTAAGATGATATTTTGTAGAAAAATGGATTTAACTTGGGTTACGTTTTTTTGGATTAATGGGTTCGAGCATACTTTTTGGGAAGACTTTTGGTTTGATTTGTAAAGAAAAATCAAGATGGAGAGATGACCAGTGTTGACTGATGGCTGGTGTGAGGTGTGGTTCAAAGGTGCTTCCAATGAGAGAAAGGGCTAGGGTTCAGTTGCTGAGAGATTGTTAAGGACAAATGCCTTTTCAGTGGTCTTCATAAGACTCCCCTCTTCCCTTATTTTTGTCTTTCTTTTGTCATCTGAATTGGGTCTTGCAACATCGGGCTTTGATTTTTTCTCATCACTCCTTGCTTGGGCCTTATCTCACATAGACATATTTGGGCCTTTAAAAGTCCTGCATTAAACAACCCAACTCAGCACAAGAGTTTTATATACAAGCAAACATCAAAACCAATTTATCATGAATTTTATTGCGACTAAAGATTTAATCACTCATTTCTTTTCAATTTAAGATCATCAATTTACACCGTTTAAGTCTCATTTTGGAGACTTATCACTCATCACTGGCTGTCGACCTAGATAATTTTCAGAGATGCATGAAAAAAATTGCCCAAAAAATATATGATGGATACTGGAGACAGAAAGTAAAACTCCAAAGCCATTAAATCCAGCGAACATCAAACGTTTATTGACAAAGATGTTTTTTTAATTAATATTGAGCTTGTGAATGTTTTCATTGAGCTTACTCAGATACAGAGTCGAATTGGAAACCCTGTGGACTTTTGCTTCCAATTCCCAGAATCCCAGTCTCCCATTCCAAATGAAAGACGAAGATGAAGAGAAAACGATTGGTCGTTAATAATCAATACGATGTAAATAAGAATTCATGGTCAATTATCTACCATTTGAAAGTAGAGATTAGTGTCCGTGGGGTTTGAATCAAAAGCAATCTCGGTCACAGACTGTGGGTTGTATCATATTTTGAAATGACAACGGTTGCCATGTCAAAAGATAGTTGACACTTTATTATGTCAACTGAATAATCATGGATTTAATTGAGAACATGCAGTTGCAGACAATTAACAAATACCGCAGTGGTCAATTCAACACGTCAACCATCCATACATCTATATATGTGTTCCCATATGGCAAGATACATTCACGGAAGAAAACTTAGGCCACAAGACAAGGATGAAGGAACAGTGACCAAAATGTCACTGTTCACCAAGTTTTTTTACCTAAATGCCACACGAACAATATTATTTCCCAATATGCCACGTAGGGAAATTCGCTGGGCACTGTAGCAAACTAAGTGCTGACGTGTCGCGTTTTAAGTGGACCCCAAGTTCGCTACACGGGGTAGCGAACTTGGTTGAAATACATATTTCAACCAAGTTCGCTACCCAATGTAGCGAACTTGGTACTATTTTTTTTTAACTTGATACTTGTTATCCACTAGAAACATGACACGTCAGCAAACTGAGTTCGCTACAGTGCCCAACAAACTTGCTCACGTGGCATATTGGGAAATAACATTATTCGCGTGGCATTTAGGTAAAAAACTTGGTGAAAAGTGGCATTTTGGTCGATGTTCCCAAGGATGAAAACGAGCTGCGAGCTAGCATCTAACATGTTTATTTTATATGTACGGATTCAACTGAGCTTTGCAGAAGACAAAGCAGTGGCAGGCCTAGAAAATTATATGACGGGGGTCAAAAATTTATATTACTATTATAAAATGACAATGTCAGTTTTGGTTGGATGATCACACTAAGAATACAAAAATACCTGTTAAGAAGAACCTAATAAAATTACATAATTTTGTGCCAATTTTTTGGTTGAAATATCAATTTTTTGCTTCCGGTGACAATGGTCTAATACACCATCTATTTCAATGAGGAACTAGCCTTAAGACTAGGGGTGTTAACGAACCGAGATGAGCCGAACTTTGGTCTTAAAAGGCTAAGTCTGTATTTAAATGTGTCCGCCCGACCAAGCGTGTTACCTGTTATAAATATAGTTGTCAGCCTGTGGCCTGACTTTTTTTTTTTTTTTTTGATAAACAAAAGGCCTAAAAAGCCCAAAACAAAAACAGAAACCAAAAAGGAAACTAACCGGGGAGAGCCACAGAATGGTCCCTACCCACAGAAGCAAGATCACCCAGATATAAAGGGTGAATACCACAAGGAGGATGACTAAAGAAACAATGATCAGCATGCTCAGAATCATCCAACAAAAAATTAGCTAGCCAGTCTGCGCAAGTGTTGCCTTCCCGAAATGTATGCTGAAGACGAACCTGCTAATCCTTTCCAAGCCACATCCGTATACGAGAGACCAAATGCCCCTCACGGACAGCTACACCACGAGTGGTGAGCACAGTGATTGCCAAAAGCGAATCACTTTCTAAAATAACGTTCCTGTAACCACTGATCCAAGCCCTCTCTAATCCTCTCAAAATACCCCACAATTCAGCTTTGAAAGAAGAATAAGAGCCCAATCTATAAGCAAAACCATCCAGCCAAACATCGTGAGAATCTCTAATTACACCTCCGCAAGCTGCCAATCCAGGATTGCCACGGGAAGCACCATCAGAATTCAATTTAACAAATCCTTCCTCGGGAAAAATCCAATAAACTAAAACAATGCTGGAATGAGGGTGAACCCGAATTGAATTTTGCTTAGCAGCAACTAGCTCAATATCTTTAACAAGGCTTCTAATCATTTGAACTCTAATGCCAAGTAAAGGCATAACTCCACCGTGATTCAGCAAATTTCTCCATCTCCAAATCTTCCAACAAGCAACCAAAAAAAATAGAGAGCCATCTGTCACTAACAAGCTTAGAGGAATCAACACTAAAAATTAAATTTAATCCAATGCTCAATGGAAACATTGTAAAACTCAACAGACAAAGAATGGGGAAGAAGACCATCCCAAACCTTCCTAGCCCTATGACAATCTCTTAACGCATGAGTAATGGTATCCAGCTCACCACTACCATAATTACATAGACCATCTCCACCATACCAAGAAGAAATCATACTATTCGTTACCAATTTTTGATGCAACACCTTCCAAGCAAATTTTTTAACTCTTTGAGGTCCTTTCCAAGACCAGAGACAACTCCAAATCTGCTTAGAACCATCATCAATAACATCATTATGAGCAAGGAAATCATATAACGCCCCAACAGAAATAGACTGGGAATTTTGAATCGCCCAAATTCTTTTATCCGGGCCATCTTCAACCATAGGAGGCAGAACACTACAAATAATATCAACAATCAATCAATATAAAAGATAGGGTAGACTTTTATTAGGAATAATATGACTTTTATTTCTTTTAATGATTATATAAAAGAAAATTACATAATCAATCAATATAAAATCAAATTATAGACAAATTTAATAGGTAGAGTGAATATGCATTACTAACTGAACTCTTCTTTATATACAACGGAAAAGCCAGCATTCCACATTGATTGAGGAGAGTAGCAAACCAAGAACAAAACCTGCCATATATGCTGGCAGGTTGAATTTGGTAAATAATAGTTATCTCTATTTGAGTGCAATAAATGGGTGAAACACTTTTTTTATGAATAGCATCGCTTGTTTTTCACTTTTTAAAAGCACTTTCAAAATTTTGTTTTTAAAGACCATGTTACATATTATATAGTAGAACATATTTTCATATTTTAGAGAGGGGACGGAGGCCCACCCTAGCAGATTTTTTTAATATACTCCGAGAGTATAAAAAAAATTTGTGGTCCTTTTCCTTTTTGGGTAAAAAAATTACTCTTATACCCCTCTCTTTTTTTATATTTCCTCCCCTATTCTCTTTTATTTTTATTTTTTAAACGGACCATCATGCCCCGGTCCACAGTAAATGCGCTCCACCCTAGTCACATGTAGGTCCGCCCCGAGACAAAGTACGGTAGCCGTCGTGTAAATTAGAAACACGTGCAAATTTAACAAATTAACATCCGTTCAAGATATCTTAAATACCTCCGTTTACAGGGCATTATATCTTTGTTTAATTTTCCTTTTTTCAATTCAGTAGTTTCCATTTTTTATTGTTGGTTATTTAAGCCTTCATAAATGAAAAAAGGTAAATAGATAGAGAGAGAGAAATGTAAATCGAATACATGAAAAGGTAAGTGCATAATAAATGAAAAGAATGCAGAAGATTTGATGAACTGGAATGAGATTCACAGCTACGATTGCTATCTTAGGAATGGTGGACGGCGAGTAAGAGTCAAAATGCTGTTCAAATTACACGTGCGCAATCACCAGATTCGCATATCAAAACTGCTGTGTCTTCGCTTAATTGGCTAGCTAACTCAGGCTGGAGCCTGAGATATTCTGTCCTAACAAATGAAGCAGCTTCAGTTGCAAGGTGAGCCTCCACAAATGCAATACAGCACCCTCTAAACCCAGCACCACTGAAGCGTGCTCCCAATACACCAGGAGCCCTCAAAAGGATCTCATACAGTTGAATCAGAGGTTCAGAACCTTGGCAGACACATCATTAATAGTTATTCGTAGACATCAAATTATCTAAAGACAAGATGCATGTAAATTTCATTTCTTGTAAACATAAGGAGATATTACTTTTAAACCACACATAAACTAAAACAAAAATGAAACCATATTAAATACCTGTCATCAGAAACATCTTAAGTTTATGGTTTAATTAATCAAAAGCCAGTCTTTTGCTATACAAAGCTCCCGCCATGTGCAGGTTCTAGATTAATTATCAAATTTAAATATTTGAACTAGTTGAGCTTAAACTAGAAGGAACTGAAACTGGATGGAGATTTTTGCATTTTCATGGAGGGAAAAAAGTCAAGAAAAAAGTTATGTATGCTGACTCAAAATGAGCTGGTTAAGAACTAAACCTCGAGTATGCAAAGCTGCAATATAGCAATGTTATTACACACACAAAAATCACTCTCCATTAAACCTCAACTAGCAAGGGTGGGGTGAGGACAATTCTTGTATGCAGCCTTACCCTTGCATATTTGCAAATAGGCTATTTCCTGGATTCAAACCTACGATCTTTTAGTCACAAAGCCATCAGTAAATCTTCCAACCTGAATGACTTGCAGTGGTTGAAGACTTTTTAACCAGATGACTCCACTTATGAAGCAATTCCCAACCTAAAACTTTGGCCACTTTATGAATCACTGTTACCCCCCACAAACATTACACATTAAAAATGTAATGTTATTTAAATCAAAGCTTGTGAAAAATTATTCATGATACGTTTGATTAAATAATTAGAATGTTCTTCAGAATTCATCTAAGAAGCTGCATTCGGTATTTTGTCTGTCAAAAAACTGCAACTGATAGGACAACGGAACCCCCCCCCCCCCCCCCACCTTCCCCCAAAAAAAAAAAAACCTAACGTTGAGATCAGGTAAAATGGAATTGTGATATAACAGAAAATAAATTGCATTGGTGAGAAACTGAGAATCTGGACTTTAAGTAGAGAACTTTCCATCATGTGCTAAGGGCTTGGAAGAAAGCTTTAGGAAAGCAATAAAGAAACATAAAGTGTAGAGAAAAATATAGAATAGTAGAGAATTAAAGGACAGAAATAATGTGTTTCAAAGTAGTAAAGGGAACAATACACGTTCCAACACTTTTTTGCGTAAAATGTTATAGTGGTTTCCGGACTCCATTTTATTTTTTAGATAACTTTTCAGGACTCAATACTTATATGCTTCTAGGAAATTCTGGCTGGGAAAGGAATTTTTTCTAAGCTTCCGTTATGATGGAACCAAAAAATGGCATGTAGACAACCATTTCCTTTAGGCTTCAATATCAATAAGTAAAAGAAAGTACTGACAAGATCTAACAAGAGAATATAAATTCATACTAATCAAAAGAAATAAATCCAAATTGAAAAACAAGAAAACTACAAATAAAAACTAATGCAATAAGATTGAAGCTCAATTGACACGAGCCCAAGTCTTTAAGATTTGGGTGCTGAAGGAAATTGCTAGGGCAGTCAAATGGAGACTTGTTCAGGGGATGATAAGAATTTAACTACTCCAATTTATAGTCTCTAAATTTTAGCGTGTATGAAGCCTGTTATAAGGTATTTATGTCTGGAAGAATGGTTTAAATCTGCTTTTCAAACTTTTAAGGTGCACTTCACTACTCCCTCTAAAAAAGAGAGTATCACATTACTTTTATAAAATTACAAACTTATTACTTAATCTGTAATTTTCATAAGTCTGTAACTTTTATTACTAGATTTGTAATATTTGACATAAAGCTTATAATTTTTTAATAAAGTAATTGGTACTTCTTTTTTTAAAGAGAATACCATCGTGAACCCCAAGCTTTTTAAAAAGAAAAATCCAGACAAGAACAGTCAATATTTGTACTAGTCTCAGATTTTTTATAGCAAGATAGGCAACTAGATAATTGGAAAGTTGAAAACTGTAGAAGAAACAAGTCCCCCTCCCAATTGGTTTCCTGTATTTCAAGTCACTTTCATCTTAGAGGAGCAAAAAAATTTGAATTTCAGAATATTCAAATAATGAATTTTGCGGTTTAGGTTTATACCACATTCATAATTTTGAATTGAACTCCAACCAGAAGCAGCAATGAGCATTCCAAAATCTTTTAACTTGCCCATTGCCCAAGCCTCAATTCCTGTGTTAAACAGTAAAATATATTACATCAAAACACAGAAGCAAAAATGAGCAGCACACAAATTTACCTCTGAAGTTGAGATTTATCCTAGCAATTCAACAGATTGTACCTTTCATAACCCGCGTATTCTCTGAGAAATAATGCTCTGCTCTTTTGGCTAGATCGGGTTCTAATTTGCACTGCACAAACAAAATGTAGGACTAAATGATTATGCTAAAATCATAACTGGAATTCAAATTATACATATGACTCATATGAAGGAAGCATAAACAGTAATAATAACCTAGAAAGATATAGAACAGATTAAATTAATTATCATAGAAGGAAACTAATTCAATGGAAAACAAAATCTTTTTTTGTGAATGCCAATATGACATGCATAATGTTATCACTTATCAGCATTTTGAACATTCAAAATTTCGGCATATCAAATCCTACATTTCTACCTTGTAGAACATTTCAAAGCCTGTTTTGGGAATGAATACATGAGAGATTGCTCCAGTTAGATGCAAACTATTCAAATATAGAGTACTTCCCATGTAAGTTTTTTATTATGCTGTTTCTAATCTGAAGGAACTCCAATATGTATTTCATATATCCAATCATCACATTTTTTTTATAGATCCAATGAGAATTATGCAAAAAAGAAATAAATTTTATCAACCTAGGCCCTTTTCCTCTTGATATCACCTCAGAAAACCACATTTGCTCTTCATTAGCCCTTAAAATATGTTATTCTTAGTCTCACCCAGCCTCAATTGTGAGGGGCTTCACAAGTTAAGGGATTATTCTTCATATGGCAGATGATTTACATGTCAAGAGTTTGGAATTCCAGAAGACATCATTTTTTATGAAAGTGAAATGTGCCAATTCAATTTGTCTATATAGTTTATGCATCTCAGTTTCCAACATCACCCAAGGTTTTCCAGAACTCTGTTTCTTCGCATATAATTGCATGACTGATGAATTTTGATACCTTAGTGCATAGTGTTTAAGTAGGTCTCTTAGTTTTCTATGGTCATACAGTACTCAGAACTGCATTCGTAGAACAAATGAATCTATTTATTTAGCTATAGGTTTCATTTTTATTAAACACTTATGCCTGCACAAAATTTAACATTAATAAAGACATCAACTGCCATTATTTCATACAAATTAACTAGTATAGAAAAAATTCTGTATACTTCTGGATCTAGCATGTCAGTGCTCATACCTTGTAAGCCTCGTAAACTTCTGGTTCAACTGCTCAGTGGAAAAGAAAAAGAAAAACTACAGTTAACGATTTGATAAAAAAAGATATAACTAGGTTCAAACGTGATAAGTTAAGATACTGGCCATTAGATAGAATGGGCTCTGCTTTATAATCTCCTGATGCTCTGCAGAATGAATTAAAAATAACATAAACCTCCCGTGTCATTGATTATTTTGCCAAATTATCTGGAAAAGAAAATGGAAACGCTAGGGTGCATGTGCTTTTGGTAATTTTTTGTTTGATAAACGTGTAAATTCAAAAGTAAATTTTAGTTTGAACAGAGTTTTGACTTATATGATATTTGGTTCCTAAAATATTTTTATGAGACTTTAATACTCACTTTTTAAGATATTAATACTGTGAATTATATAGATTTATACTTGAAAAAAATTATAAGAATCAAAATTCCAATGAATAAAAATTATAACAAACATAATCAACATAAAACCTATGTTTTACTAAGATATATTAATTAACAAATGGGACAGGATCCGTTTACAAACTATTTTTTGCAATTACACTAATGTAGGACCGGTCGTACATTGTATGATTAATGTAGGATCGATCCTACATAATGTAGTTTGTAAATAAAAAAGTTTGTAAATATAACTTGTCCCTTAACAAATTTTAGAAAAAAGTCATCTCAAGCGCCGATAAAAAGTCAAATGAATGGGGTACCACGTGTAGGACACGTGACTTTTAATGACAGCAACAAACATGAGATGACTACAGTACCCTTTTCTTTTTCCTCTTCCTTTTTTTATGGGGACATTTCCTCTTCCGTCTTACTCAGCCTGAATCTGTTTCCATTGCTGCCCCAAGCCAAACCACTGAACTACCACAGTTGCTACCCAACCATGAAGCTTCCATCCATCTTTCATACCAACATAACCAAAACACAAACTCTGCCCCATCCAGCCATCAACAAATCACAACCTCCATTGAAGAATCTGAGCACCACCCTTCTCTACTGCCAAACAACAAAACCTTAATCGAAATCCCCTTTGTCCTCTCCAAAATCCTCAAACACTATCATCAGAGAATCATTACTAGACTCAGTCACTATCACCGGTTTTCCTGCCTTAATAATGGGGGTAATTGGAGAATTAAAAGTACTTAACAAACAGAAGCTAAACACCCTTAAGTGAGTTGTGTATTAGTGCAAACAAAGAGTGTATAGTATGTAGTTTCACCGAACTTTAAGAGAAGTCGTTGTATTTTGCCTTTAAATAAATGATCATGCTGCAGCATAACCTATATCATTTCTAATCAAAATATGCATAAATTTTGTTCTTTTTGAGATTAAAATTTACCTCATTTATCTTTATAAGAAGCTAAGTTGATGCTACTAAGGGACTACAACGCAAAAAATGACCTGTGAGAGGCCAAATTGAAATTGGTGATGACTAAAATCGGTATTGTATCCATTTTAATTATTAATAGCTTCCATCTTCTAGTTAATTATATTGACGACCATTCGGACAAGTGTAAAGTTGACATATCTAAGACACTGAAATTCAGAAATATTTTGCAATGCATGTAAACTCAAGTTACTATTAAAAAATATGAATGACAACAGTAATATATTATCAGAGAAGAAAAAAAAAGAAATACTTACTCAAGAAGAATTCGTGCAGCCTCTCGACACTCTGCTACTCGCTTATTATATCCAGGGTTGTTAGTCAAAGCTTGCTTCAACCCTGAAAGTGCCAACAATATTTTGGTTGCTTTTGGTTGCTCACTCTCTAGGTACTCTTGCTCCTTTGGTAGGTGAATAAGCTTATAAGCTTTGGTCTGCATAAGCCAAACTAACACATGAAACAGAGGAATGAAGACGATAATAGCGAGAACAGAGTTGTGTAGATCTAAAATGCATTTATTTTCTTTTACATGATTTTATACAGCTTATTATTCGAAATTCAAAGAAAGTAATCCGACCAAAGAAGCCAGATATATAAGAACTACGAAAGAATGAGAAGAATCAAGCCCATACAGCAGGCTTTTATGCTAGGTATGTTATGAATATAAGAGATTTGAAGGAAGTAGACCGGTAACTATGAATAGGAAATCAAAAAGTGAAATTTTCATTTATTTTATTTATTTTGCTAAAAATAGCAGAGCAACGATCAAAGAAGTACCATAGAAGAAGCTTTAAGCTATACTAATGTAAGAAAATTCAACAAGAAACTAGTTGTTTATATCATATTGGATATCCAACCAACCAATTCTTATCTAAGTGCAAACGAAAAATACTTTTCAATTTTCATCATATATGAATTAAGCACGTATTAAAAACCAATGCAAAAAATTAAAAAGATCTAGCAGTTAGCACAAGTTTGTGGAACAAAGATTTCTTTATAATTGTGAGATAACAACTTATGCTACAATTTAGTGGCAGAAGTTGAAAGTGTTTTGGTTGACAAATGCATTTTCCCCAGCACTAAGCAAGTTCTCTGCTCTCCTAGAAAATTATACGGTTTTAAAGTTGAGGAACTTAGAGAGGAGAATATTTAAACTTTGCAGCTGAGGATTCAGATAAATGATATTGGCTGCAATTTACAATGACCTTCCCCGTTTGAATGATTTTCAAACACATATGCTCCTTCACTACAGCCTTCCATGTAGATGAAAAAAAGACACATAAACATGCATACATACAGACACAATAGGTAGTTTGAGTGACAGAAGGACACATGATCAACATCCCAAGTATCAAAATCTGATTCTGCAACTGATGGATATGCTCTAAAAAATAAAAATACGTTTAGAACTTGTAACAACACCACATATCCAGATATTACCTTGCAATTCATGCACATCAAACGACCATGGCTTGAAAGTAATATAGCTGATTGGTCCATTATGCCATTTTTCAGACCCAAATACTCATTCTCAATCAACCTATAATGAGAAAAGTAACATTTATGATAGCTGATCTAATATCACCAGACAATCAAGAAATAATTCAGTAGCTTATCTGTGACCATAGTGACTGAAAGGATGAGGCTGTAATTCCACTTAAATTTTGGTGGCAACTTAACTTTCAAACTTTGATAGTAACATTCCAGAAGCATTTTTTACTATCCAGCATAGTATGAGTAACTAGGTAGCTTAAAAAGGTGCAAGAGAAGTGTAAGAAGTGAAGGTTTGAAAATAGTATTGGCCTTTTTCTAACAAAGAAATACCCATCCATACCAAGGTAGTTAAATGTGAAAAAAGCTCATGCCTTGCTAAAAGAAAGACATTTAACAATAGAAAAATAATACAGTAATATATTTGATCATTGTGCCTTGATTTTCCATATAAATGAACTTCCCAAGCATGACATTCATAGTAAAAATAAAAGATTATGATAATCAATTTACAAAGCCCTAAGCTGTCTGCTGCTAAGAGTCCCACAGTCCAACAACTGAAGTGCCAAGAGGTGCTGACCCTTTCCAGCGCCTCACCTCATCTACTTAGGCTGACCTTTCGATGCCTTAACCTACACTGATTCATACATGTGCCCATGGTTGAAGAAGAGTGCATTGTGACTGTCTCCAAGGATTTGGATAGACTTACCTATCATATTCAATATTTTCTGTAGGAGATATTGCTAAATTATTTGCATGTTCCAAAGCCAAGAGGTAAGCTACTCCAACCTGTCAAGTTGAAATCACCCCAAAAAAAGAAAAGCGTAGTTGCCAAAACGTCAGCAATGAAGGATCGATTTGTTTTCGAAAAGAAAACCGAAATGAGCAGCTTATTAACAAAAAATAAATAAATAAATAAAATTGAGAATAGGATTGGAATAATGGATATTAACATTAATTCAAGAGTGGAATAATATATTGGGAACTGATTGTGACTAAGGTATTATTAGCAATTCAGGGTTATTAGGGTATTTTTTATTTTTAATAAAGTTACAGTCAAATAAATGAATAAATAATCATCATTTCATCAATAGTCACAATCCTGATACTGCTAGGAAATGTAGTGCATATGGATAGAGAAAGGAAATCAGATAACGTCGACGACTAAAATTGCTCCCTCCATATTCATCTTCGGTCCCAATATCCCCAACCCACACTCAAAAATGAATCTTGATCAAGAAGCTAAACTCTCTCAATCCTCTTCGGATGAACTTCATTTCAAATTTCATTACAAGGCCCCTTGATTCAGATTTTTCATTATTTTGAGGACCAGAGAAAAAGAAAGTAGACGGAGAAATTGCTATCTTACCGCAGCAGAAGAACTTAAGCCCGAACTGTCCAGACCTTCAGAACCACATATGTATCCTATGATACCCTGTATGCATTGTGACAAGGATGGGTGGGTACACATTTTAACATAAAAGAAATAAATTGCATGCAGTGATCTTCAATGCAAGAAAACCAGAAATGCATCACAAGCAGTGCGGGGTTTGCACATTTTAACATAAAAGAAATAAATTGCATGCAGTGATCTTCAATGCAAGAAAACCAGAAATGCATCACAAGCAGTGCGGGGTTTGCACAACTTTGTTAGTATTGTCTTATTTCATCATTCTCATTATCGAAGTGAATAGAACAACTTAAACTAGATTATCATAGAAAACTGCTATCCATCTGATGTATGTATAGCATAATTTTAGCTAGGTCAAGTGATAAACAGAAATATGAACCTTCACGGCATGATACCTGACCTTAGAAATATTGTTTCCCCTGCTTTGTAGTGCATGTACTGCTCCTCTAGCATAACGTCCCCAGTCACATTGTTCCTGTAGCTCAGAAGAATCCTTTGCTGAGTTCTCATTTTTTGTCTTAGTGGTTTGTCTTGGCTGCTGAATCTCATCAACTCTATCAAATACCACTCACTTTATAACTAATATTGTGCAAATTATAGAGTTATTTTGGAAGTTCAAAATAAAAAAATTATGCAATGAGAATGAGAATAGCCCAAGATCAGAATGGCGGTTGAAATGCCAATGAGCTAGTAGATCAATTGGCATGGCCCCTAAGTCTTAAAGGTTTGGGTGTGAAATGATGTTCGAGGTTTGAAATTATACATGTAAATGCATCGCGCCATATACATAAAGATAGAAGTAGGTGAAGCTTCGCTTCATTTGTCAATTAGTAAAGTTATCAATTCTATTTCATCTTCACTAACCATTATTCAGCATCTTGTAATTCTAATAATTTGGTCAGAGAGGTGGCACACCTCTAAATTAATGCATCTGGCATACAGTAGCCTAGGATAATATTATGAGCGATGGAAGAGAACTTCCAAACAATATTAGGGAAACACAAATCCTTATGATCACTGACCCTGTTACCTGAAATTAACTTCTCCTTGAAACTGTCCTGAACGAATCACAACCTAGAAGAAAGGTCCCAGGAATCACTCATTAAACAAATGAAAGCATCATGACTAGTAAGTGCAAGAGACCAAATAAACAAGTAATTTCAAAGGATAAAAGGCCAATTTAAATGCATTGATATGCTTAGCTGCTATTTGAACAAAAGAAAATTGTCAATCTAAATTGAGAACATGGTCAAATTTTACCTCACCACGGCTAGAAGGAGAAAACCCCAGAAGTATTCCCTTATTGATTGTCATAGCTGAAACAGTCCCACCCTACAAATACCAAATGAAAGAGCAAAAGAACTCATTAAAATTTCAAGTAAAGTTTGTGAGAATATAGCCTGATAATTGAACAAGTGAAATTTATCTGCCCAGCCCCAGTGCTCTAGTACGTATTGGTTAATCAAAAGTTTCCTATAAAACTTTCTCTAGATCCTTCATTAAGTTTCTTCTGTACTAACATAAAGAAAAAGATATATTCAAGTACCTGATGATCAATGTGTGCCCCCAAAGGACAAATTCGATATGGAGATACTACAACTCGAACTTCCTCTTTATTCACATTTGCCATTTTGGTAACTATCTCTCTCATTTCATTCAGCTGCAGTTTACATATAGATTAATCACTGAGTGTCAAAGACTATTGAATCAGCAAAGTTTTATCAAAAGGCAATGCTTCCTCCCCTCTAACTTTTCATTCAGGTTAAAGGGCAAACCCGCCCCGCAGTGCACAAGATTCCCCGACTTGCGAGGGTAAGGTTGAAAATCAATTGTATGCAATCTTACCCATGCATTTTTGCAACAAGGCTGTTTCACCAAAATTTATCACTGCTCCAAGGCTTGCCCTCAACTTTTCATTCCGGTTCTCGTTATATTTTTCAATTACTTCCACTTCCATACAATAGTGTAAAAATGTCAAGAACCATAAATTTTGGCGAAGTAGCCTTATGAGTTAAAAAAGTTGCTAGCGAATTACAGTCATGCCGGACATTATCCGAAGATTGAGCCACATTATAGTATTGGAGAGGATTTGCCATATATTCCTTGCACACAGATCAATCAATCTTATAATAATACAATCCAAAACCCTGTATATTTAGCTTTCCCGTCATCACAAGACTACACCAATGCAAAAATTCTTGCATTCAAGAGCAAGCTAAATACGACAATGATAGTGCAGTAACCAATCCAAATGCAACTAAAGAAATGTGAAAAAAAAAGATGTACAAATATCAGTTTCGAGATAAATAAGCCAATTGCGAACTAACCAATGCAAGATCAAATCTAATATACAAGATACAGAATCCTATCAACAAACAGCTTCAAAGAGCAGAATGCACCACCGTGAACCAAATCGAAACAGCAATGTCAGCACGCGATGCGCAAATTATGATTGGCAAAGCAAGAAATCGAAATAAAAGTGAAGGGGAATTTAGCGAGCAGATCGGGATATATATGTACCTCAGTGTCAGAAGGCCAACATTGCCCAGCCATGTCCGCAGCTGCAAACTTGTTCCGCGACGAAAATGCGAGGGTGGATTCAGAAACACAAACCAGATCGGAAAATTCACCACAGCGCAGGCACAGTGTCCAGATGAGGATAAAGAGACGCACTTGCTCACATAAAATGTACCAGATCAGGGGTTGGAGAAGCGGCAAAATCGGTTGAAAGCTACATTCACTTCATTTTTACTCTTTGTCATCCTCTCTCACATGTTATAAGATGGATGATGAATCAATGGTGAAAAGAAAAAAAATATTGGGATAAAGAATTACAAGAATACATAATCATGTTAAATACAATATGATTGCATCAATTTCCTTAGTTTTTATTTTACCCCTGCTGTGATGCGCGAGTAAGGCAAAATGGACTAGGTCGATATTGAGTTAATGGCTCAATTATTAAATAATTATAAAAATAGGGTTTGATTTTTTCTTGCTATCAACGAAAATAAGTTATTTATATTGAACTCCAAACTATATTATTTTAGAATAGAAATTAAGGTATTTTTATTAGGGTTCGCTTTTTCTGCAGTTACTGCAGATAAGTTATCTGCAGTAAGCCCAATACGATGTCATTTTGGGACGGAAATAATGGTGTTGTTGTGATTTTAATTTATTTCAAAGTTATAATAGTCTTTATATTTATAATTTTTTAAGATTTCAATACCAAAACGACGTCGTTTTGGAAATAAATGCAGATAATTTATCTGCATTAACTGCAGAAATATTTTTTCCTTTTTATAATTATAATTTATTTCAAAGTTATAATAGTCTTTCTTATTATATTTTTTTATTCTTTTAACCTTGTTTTGGAAATTAATGTAAATAACTTATCTAAGTTTATTGTAGAAACATTAAAGCTTTATAAAAAATATAAATATTATAATAAATATAGTGTTCTCGACAAGGTAGTTGAATCGCAATACGTGTCATTTTTCGTTTGTTTTTTGTATCGTTTCATGTATCCTATTGAATAGTAAGATATATAAAGATAATAAAAAATAATTTAAAAATATATAATATATTTAATATCATATAAATTCAAATTCCAAAAAAGATTCAAATATACAAAATATATAAATAACTAAAGTTTAAACCAATTATTCTCATATTGATCAATCATCAACTCTAATATTATCATTATCAGTATCTATTAGTGACTTCGTAAGGCTAAAGCAAAGTCGGTAAAGAGGTTTAGAATATTTATTTAAATTTTTTAATATATATTTTTAAGATTGATTTTTGAGTTTAAATCACAAATCAAATATTTATTTTCTTTTCCTTCTTAATAATAATTTTTTATATTTTTTAAAAATTTAAATCTCAAATTAAATTTTTATTTCTTTTTTTTATATTAAAAATTATAAATTTTAATTTATTTTTTGTATCATAGAATACACGATGCGTATCATATCATTTAATATAACCTTTATTCGACATGCTTTTTAGATACGTATTGCTGAGTTTATAAATTATTACGTATATCGTGCGATTCTGATAATTATAATTCCGAGTGGTTACCTGAACAATAACAATTCGTTGCTCAATATCTTCTTAATTGGTGGTTGGTGGGAATGCTCCGTTAAGCAAGAGAGGTTTGGATTGTATACGTGAAATAAATTTTTGTTATTATTGTTATACTTAAATTCAGTATATTTTATCAATTGGGGCATTACATATCAGAAGAGAGAAATAATTTGGTAAAAAAAAAAAAGAATTTTGGCTGACATGTAATGCTTCCAATGATGGAATATACTGAATCTTTAGTGCAACAGTAATACCAAAGATTTATTCGTATATGTGAAAACTCCGACACTCAATAGTGTAAAATTAAAATGGAAAATATAATTAAGTTAAATTGGTATAAAGATCAAATCACGATAGAATTATCCGTTGTTCTAATCATGGGATTGCGAATTCTTATTAAAAAATAGAGTAAATATCTTTTTTAGTCCTGAACAAATTTTACGATATCCACTTTAGTTTCTAATAAATAAAAGGGCTATTTGTGGTCCCTAAAAAGTTTAAAATGAACTCATTTAGTTAAAATCGTGGTCCCTCACAAATTCAAAAAAATCCATATTAGTACCTCAAAATGACTCAAATGGGTCCACTTTGAATTTCTTAGAGACCACGAATAGCCTCCACTTTGAATTTCTTAAGTACCATGAATAGCCTTTTTATTTGCTAGAGACTAAAACGAATATCGTAAAATTTGCTAGATATTTACTCTAAAAAATATTATGCTGATTTGGTGGGATAATAGTAAATGATTATTCATAAAATAATTGAGATAGGGCCAAAGAAACTAATTTATATGCGGAGTCCAATATATCGGTTAAAAATATATATAAAATTTAGGGATGGATCCGTTTATAAATTTTTTTTACAAAATTTTGCAAATTACATTATGTATGAGAACATAGTGTAACTTAGTGTTCTTCCGGGAGTACATAGTATAGTTTGTAAGAGTTTATAAATTATCTTCGAAAATTGATGCAAAATTTCAAGAATTGTTCTGATGCAGCCGTAATAACAGTGACTATTAATTTCAATTATTATTACTAGCACTCTTTATTACTAAGCCTGATGATCAGACACTACCTTCTTTGCACTATTTCTACACCAGTCTAATACACAAGTTTGTGAGTAATTAATTATGTTATTTGATTAATGAATTAACAATTAGTTAGTATATTATTGAAATTAAATATTAATTTATTAATTAAATAACATAATTATTGATTAAATGTTTTTACATTATTAATTGGTGTTATAAAAAGTTGAAAAAAATGGTGTGAGTAAACTTTAGTCTAAATAAGTCATGTCTATGTCTACCAAAAAAAATTAATAATAAGTTATACCTATATAAAATATGGGAAATGTATTCCTCCTTTTAAAGAAGAAGAGATTTTTTGCAGCAACAAAAAATAATTATGTCTTACTGATAAAATATAGTTATAATTTTAAAAATTGTTTTTTCTCTCTCTTCAAAAAACTGTCACTTGACATGTCAGACAAACAAATTTAATATTATATTTATGTCTTATGAGTAAGATATGGTTATTTTTTGTGTCTACAAATATTTTTTTCTCCTCTTGAAAACAGGAGAAGTTGGGAATCCATAAAAAAATTTAATTTTGATCTTGTTTGTTAGCCTAATGGAGGTTATAGTATAGGTGTGATATAACCTATTTTTTGTTAAATAAAAGTCTTTATCAAATCTATGGGCCTATTATAATTTATATATAATAAATTAAATATGAATCGTTTAAAAAATTAGAACACAAATATAAACAAGAATAATTCTTGTGACTACCAATCAATGTCCCTGTGCAAATTTAAATTTTCAACATTAAACTTTATATAATACTTTAAATAGCAGAAACAATATCATATAATATTAAAAATTCATTAAAAAAATATAGTAGGTAAACCTATAGGCTTTAAGGCCAATTTTTTAAAAAATAGGCCAATGGCCTAGTTCTTAAGGAGGTTTTTCCTTTGAACAACCTACCCTATCTTACGCTGGCTAAGTTTCGCGTGAAGTTTCGCGTGAAGTTTGTCCCTCGTATTCTGTGTGGTATATTTACGGGGAAAGTTTATACTTAGAACCTATTTTCTTTACAATCTTTTACAACCATATATCTTAATCTTTTATTTCTGTCAATCACGGTTATCATTTATTTTGATTTAATAATTAATTAATAAATTTGATTTGCGAAAATCTTAACCGTTGATTGACGGAAATCAACGGTTAAGATATGTAGTTGTAAAAGGTTGTAAAAAAAATAGGTTGTAAGTATAACCTTTCCCATATTTATGCGATAAATATTTTTTGTATTATAAGAGATAATTTTATTTCTTACACACATATAAAAATATGTGAGACCATATAAAGAGAATAGCAAAAATAATAAAATTTAGACCCTATACACTTTTATATATATAAAAAATAAAAGTATCTCCTGCAACATAAAAAATATCAATCATTATATTTATACCCCTAAATAAAAGGTATAAATATTTTAAAATTAATTTTATTTATCAAATACTTATTATATAAATAATTTTTTTGTATTTTTTTTCAAAATATTAATATATTAACAAAATTATTTTAATAACATATCTCTTGGCTAAGTACACGATTAATATGTAACATATTAAAAGATCATAGAGGGTAAGAAGCTATTTAAAAAAAAAAAAAAAAAAAAAATAGAGGGTAAGAAGCTGAAGAAGTAGTATGTGAATTTTTTTAAAAAAAGCTAGAAGCTCTTTTGTGGAGTTTTTAATAAAAATATATTTTTATTTTTTTTCTTCGTTAAGAAAATTAAAAAAGATATGAAAATCTATTTTATTTTATTTTTGTAAATTATGAAAATCTATTTGGTTTACCTTCTCTTTTTAAGGGCAAGAAAAGTTAAGAAAATAAAGTCAAACGAATATTACTTTAGATCCCTCGGTAGGCTTTTTTTCATCATATTAATTATTTCTGTGTTCCAAATTCATCATTTACTTATTTTCCAAATTGTATGTATGCATCTTCTATTTTCAGAATTTTATGATTTGCCATTAACCATAAACCAACTCACTTTAATAATATTTTTTGTTCCTAATAGAAGAATTTTCGGGAAAAAAAAAACATTTCATAACTCAATTTATTTCTATACCCAAATAGAGAGGTGATGTATTTAAAAAATAATAATTTCAATAAATAATATGTGTTAATGTTGATAACATATTTTACGGTATTTATATTTAATAAATAATATTTCAGGTAAAAAAAGTATTTCTTATTTTGACCAATTTCGTGCCCTCGGGCAATTAATTCACTCTCTAGAAAAAAAAAATCAATTTAATCAAATACTATTTATAATCATTTCTGTTTTCTGGGGGAAAATAAAAATAAAAAACATTTCTAGAACCTTGTCATTCACACTCTAAGTAACATGAAATAAATTAATAAATATGTGTTTATTTTGAAGGAAAAAAATAGACAAAGTTAAGCCCGTGCGGTAGAATATTCCTTTGCAAAGTATAAATCTGTAGTTCTCTACCTTACATATGTACAAATGTCCAGCATTTCACCCAAAAAATAAGCAATCAGATACATAAATAATTTTGATATGGTAACAGTATTTTTCAAGTTAGCTATATCATCAACCGAAATTAAGTTAGCTATATCATCTTTTCTTATCTCCCCACCAAGCTAGACATCTCGCGACTATAAATATAAATGTGTTAATCAAAAGTATATGTCTTGTAGATGAATAAATCTGTTTACACAAAATTTGATTTGAGCATCAAAGTATCTTGTGGGTACACCTTCACCTTATTTCAATGAAAACCCATATATTAAAGTTGCATCAAACTATTTGTGTAGAGGAAGATCATATGGTCAGCTCAACCAGATAAAAATGGTTATCATCACACCAATAGAATACAAATCATAAAAGCAAAGTGAAATGAATCTCTTCCAAGTTGATAAAAAGACAAATCACCTCGAAACTTACCATCTCGCTACTCATGCTCTCAGTATAAGTAACGAGCTGAGGGGGGTTCTGACCTGGAATAAATATATTGAAATATGAGGCCCATACTGAAAGCCTTCGTCATTAAGAGAAGGCTCAGTCGACAAAGGTTGCTTGCCATGATTGCTTCTACAAAACTTCAAAAGCTTATCTCACTCACCCACAAAAACCAATTAGAAAGATTATCGCCTCACCACTTGCAAGCTGGTTATCTCTCCTCATCTCTCCACTAAGTTGGACATCTCTTTACTATAAATATGAATGTGTTAACAAAATATACACATATTCTTCTACATGAATTAATCTACTTATACAAAATCTGACTTGAGCGTAAGAGTGTCTTGTAGGTAAAACTCACTCCTTGTTCCAGTGAAGACTCATGGGTTAAAGTTGCATCAAACTATTTGTGTAGAGTAAGATCACATGATCAGTCCAACCAGATAAAAATGGTTTTGATCAACTCATAAAAAAAAGTTCAAATTGATATATAATTATTACTCTATTAATAAATGACTAAGATTTATTGCATGATATGACGATCTCTAAAATCAGACGTTATAGGAATTCATTAACGTCACTTATTGATAATTATCTAAATAACCCCCAGTTTCCAGGGACAACGACCTTTTTGCCATGTTATTGGCAAAAAAATTATCGAACTGCCACGCTCTAGAAATAATTTTTCAAAATGCCACGTCGCGTAACTCGCTACCACACCTAGCAAGTTAGGTTTGGATACTTGGCAGCCAATTTGAGGCTGCGTAAATCACTAGACAGTCCAACATTTTTTCCTAGTCAACGTGTCAGACAACCCTTTTTGAAACTGCAGTCCACTTGGCATAAAACGCTAGGCAGCATGGCGCGTTACATTTTTTAAATATTATTATTTTATATTAGATATTTGTTTAAATATTTTTGTTTTATATAATTTGTTTTAGGACTTAAAATCATAGATTTGATGATATTTTAATAATTTGTTAGTTTTTACTAGTGCAGAGATTAAGACCTAGGATACATGATATATTTTATATTTGTTGAATGAGTGAGTTAGGATAGGTAAATTATAGGATAATTCATATTGTTAGGATTTTGAATTAATTTTATGGGATAAATTAAAATTATAGGATGATATATTTTATATTATTAATTTTATATTTTGAATTTAAATTATAAAAAGGATGTTAACATTGATTTAAATATTTTTGTTTTCAATAATTTATGTCAATTGAATTTATTTTAGGACTGTAAACCCAATGACAGATGACATATTTTTTTTAAAATTATTACGGCTGTTGGATTGTATTTATTTGAAGACTTGAAACTCATAGGACAGTTTACATAATTATGTTTTTCACTATATTAATATTTATGAATAGTATGATTAATTTTTTCTATAATTTTTTGAAATAGATTCATGGGTACCCCTATGATTTCCCACCTTACGAGGAGCATGAGCCTGCAACTCCTGGTTCCCCAGGTGGTTCCGCAAGATCTATTGAGTTCAACTCATATTACCACCTCTAGTTGCATCTACTACTAACGCGATATATTCATCCTTAACATTCTCCATCGGAAACCAATTTTCTTTACCCAAGGCGCATCGAGCAGTCAATTGAGACAAAGATTGACTCCATTGTAATTTTAATTTTTTATATATTGTCTTCTTCAATTCAATAAAACTACACCGCATGCTTATTTGAATTATTTTTGTATCTCCTTCAAAAACTTGTCCATTATGACCAAAATATTTCCTCACATTGTAATATATTAAAGCAATTATTGAATCATTGTCGTCACTCATTTTGAAAAATTTAGATAAAAAATACATAAGGAAATAAATGTAAACTCTTTAGATAATTCAGATTAAATTTTGCATTTGGTTAGAGGGGGAAGGTGTATATATTAAACATACTCGCTGCAATGTTGGGCGTTGTACACGTGGCATTTCCACGTAAGACGCTATGCAGTGTGTGTGGCGACTTTAGCCACGTGTTAGAATGTGCCACGTAACACGTCATGCTATTCATCATTTTATGCCAAGTGGACTGCAGTCTCAGACTGGACAGACACGTTGACTGGGGGGCGGGGGGAATGTTGGACTGTTGGGCAATTTACGTGGCCTCAAACTGGCTGCCATGTGTCCAAACCTAAGTCACCAGTGTTGTAGCGAGTTAGGTGACATAGTATTTTGAAAAATTATTTCTAGAGCGAGGCAATCCGATAAATTTTGCCAATAACGTGGCAAAAATCGATCCCAATTTTCAAGTTGATAATTTTGTAGTTTTTATTTATTTATGTATTTATTTATTGGGAAAAGCATTTATCGTTTTAAAGGAGGTAAATTTGTATGATTTTAGATCTTAACCGTTGATTTTCGTCAATCAACAGTTATAATTTACCAAATCTAATTATATAATAAATTGGTAATTCATAATAAATTATAACCATTAATTGACGAAAATCAAATTTTAGGATCTAAAATGACATAAATTTATATTTTTAAAAGGAAATATTCTTCACTTAATTATTTTAAACAAATAATAGTGGTGCTGTGGTGGCATCTTTGGAGAGAGAAGGGAAGGGTAGTTAAGTCGATGAATTAAGTATAAGAAAAAAATCATTCCTTTTTCTGTATTCAAATCAAAACTTTAAAACCAAAGCGCTCTCTGCACTGGAAACACCACAATCTTTTCTGTTCCTCTCTGTGGTTCCTGCCTTTTGTTGTGTTGTGTCCAATGGCAGGTGCGATGAAGAATGTCGATAAGATTCGCCAAATCGTGCGTCTCAAGCAGATACTGATACGGTGGAAGCATATGAGCCTCCGCCGTCGCTCCTCCGAACCCAAGCCATGTGCCACCACAACTCGACGACCACCCTCTGGATTCGTCTTTGTCTATGTTGGACCAGAACGCAAGCGTTTTTCAATTCCTGCGCGGTTCCTTAACCTCCCTATATTCGCGGGTCTCCTCGAGGAAACCGAGGAGGAGTTTGGCCTCCGAGGTAACTGTGGTTTGGTTCTGCCTTGCCAAGTTCCTTTCTTCACAGACATCGTCAAGCATCTCCAGAAAGATGAGCATAAGTACGGAAATTTTTCTCTCCAAGAGTTCGTGAATATGATTTCTGATTTGGGTTCTGATTCTTGCAAGGAAAACGTCATTGCTTTTGCTCCTCTGTTGCAGAAAGCAAAGGTTTAAGATTTGCCAGTTTTCATTTGGGGAAACTTAGAATCTGGATTTGTAAATATTTGGGGAAACTTAGAAGAATCTGGATTTGTAAATGAAGACAGGAATTTGTTTTTTTCTTTTTCTTTTTATATTGGGTTTTTGGTTCTAAACATCCTTGAAACCATTTCCCTATAAATTTCAGTGGGTGGGTTTCAATGAGATGTGGTTGAACTTGGCCTTTGGTAGATTGGGTTATTTTCACTATTTCTTATAATTGATGCCCAATATTTTTCTGTTAATGACAATGATCAAATTTTAATGATCAATGAGAGATTTCATGGTTCATGATAGCTCTGGATCTGTGTTTCACTTTCCCTGGTTTTTTTTTTTTAAAAAAATTTCTTTACTGTAGAGAAAGTACTATTGGGTATGTATGATTCATATTTCACGTTTAGATGAGAATTTTGTAAACAAAGTTAGCAGAAAGTCAAGACCAATAAATGTCTGATATTGTTGTAGACCCCTGACTCATTAACTACTCATGGCTGAGTCATTACATTTATTTTTTTCTTAATAATTTGGACTCTCCCTTTCCTCTACCTATTTTCTCCATTTGTGTGTCAATTTCAAAAAAGTACATATCTTCCTGCAATTAGAATTCTTAGAATTGCTTTTCATTTACCAAATAGACACTGTAGTCAGCAAATAGTAAACACGCTTCTTTCTTTAATCGAACATGCATTTTGAAATTAGAAAATGAAGAGCCATACTTTAGTAGGTATTCGAAATGAACTGTAGCGGAAGCTTAATCTATATCATCATTCGGGAACTAGAGGCACTTTCGTGTATTTTAGGACTACCCTACCGCACTCATTGTCATTCTTATTCTCTATACTGGCGCAGAAAGATTCTATAAATGTTTTCGAGTTGAATTTTAGCAAAAGGAATCTCATCTTTCTTTCATGTTTTCTTATTTTTGAATTGTATATCTTTTATCCCCATCTCAGGCACTTTACCCTCAAACCATAGATTCCGCAGATGTTAACAAAATCACCGCTCTTTTTTTTTTTTTTTCGTTTTGTTTGTTATAGGATCAAATGTTCGGCATGTGTCAATCCATGGCTTGAGGGATTCTGTTGATCTTTCTAGTTTTAATAAAAGTTATGTGCTTTTGCTCACTAACTTAACTTGAATTGAAGTTTTCGCACATGAGTACAGGTGTTGGATTTGATAAGATTCTCGTTCTTTTGTTTGGTTCTTGAAATTCGTCTTTGCATCCCTGAAATTTTCTATTTTGATCAGAGGGAACTGTAATTATTACTTAAATGAATTCCTCTTTTTTTTTTTTGAAATAGAAATGAATTCCTCTTTATCATCTATGATTTATGACTATTAAGTACAAGTGGCAGGACAGATACTATTGGGCATCGTGATTAACATGCTAGGCCGACCATATACAATCCGAATATAGCTTAAAATCATGCGAATTGCATACTTTAATTTAAAATAATGGTATATTCTCATTAAATATCGTCCGAATAATATTTACTTCATTTAGTAATTAAGAAAAAATTTAATGCCAAGTCTATCCCTTGTTTAGGCGTTTTGTTACCTTATTAACTTTATATTTTTCCTAACCCCCACCCTTATATAAACCAGGCAATATATATATATATATATATATATATATATATATATATATATATATATATATATATATAGAGTTTACATTTCTGCACCTGCTATACGTGCAGCAATCAAATACTTGTCATATATATGTAAAAACATTAAATGCGGGGAATCATAACCATGCAAAAGATAAAAGCATTAAATGTGGAAAATCATAACCATACACATGTCGTTGCTATACGTAAAACGGCCGCAGAAATGATTATATATATATATGAGGCAGGATCCTTTGACACCGGTGTCAAAGAAAAAGTTTGACACCTCATATGAGAGCCATTAGATTAAAAAAAATAATGGTGTCACATGCTTACAAATCAGAATCGTTGATTTTTTTTAATCTAACGGCTCTCAGATGAGATGTCAAACTTTTTTTTTGACACCGGTGTCAAAGGATCCTGTCTCTCTCTCTCTATATATATATATATATATATAGAGAGAGAGAGAGAAAAAAAAAAGGTAGGATCCTTTGACACCAGTGTTAAATTTGAAATTTGACATCTCATCCGAGAGCCGTTAGATCAAAAAAGATCAATGACTCTGATTTGTGAGCATGTGACACCATTGATCTTTTTTGATCTAACGGCTCTCAGATGAGGTGTCAAATTTCAAATTTGACACTGGTGTCAAAGGATCCTGGCTCATATATATATATATATATATATGGGGTTTATATTTCTACAGCTGCTGTACGTGCAACAATTAAATACTTACCATATATATACTTGAAAGCATTAAATGCAGGGAATCATAATCATACAAAGAATGAAAGCATTAAATGTGAAAAATCATAACCATACAAATGTCGTTGTTGTACGTAAAGCGGCTGTAGAAATTATTTTACGTATATATATATATATATATATATATATATATATATATATATATTAATTATTCGATTAGTTTGATCAAATTGGGTAGGATCACAACCCCACAAGTGAGACAAATATTTTTTCTGTCAAGTTTTGGACACAATTGCATACTCAGAACTCAAACTTGAAATCACCGGTTAAGTTTATTCATGTGCTTAAATGGTAGTTTAAATACATTATTCTAGAATTTCATTATCTATGATATGACGAGGATTTCTTATAACTTTTTTTGAAAAGCAAACAGGAAACATAAAAACAAAAAAAAAATAAACTAGGAACACCTCCTAGACCAAACTACTTCTACATAATCCTTTTTTTTTTTTTTTTCTTATAACTTTAGGTTGTTAATGATCCGCTCCAACACTAAAGCTCATTTGGATGAGATTTTTTCTTCTAAAAGCTATTTTTTTGAAGAAAAAAAAAACTATCTCACTATATATGACAGTTTGGATGTTTGTTTTTAAAAAAATAAATAAAAGGCAAAATTTCTACTTTTTTAGAAGCTAAAATTTTTTACTTTAAAAAAGTAGAAGTCAAAAGCCAACTTTTTTTAAATCCAAATTGGCCTCAATACCAACCCCATCAATCTAACCTTCGCCATCATCACCAACACACCCCACCATCTTGCTAACGTTGTCACCACCACAACCTCAATCAATATGTTACGATTGCAGCTTGATAATGGTTACCATTGTAGTATTAATAATAGTTTTTGTATTTGAATTGTGTCACAATAGGATAAGCGCTTAACAATTTTATGATTTGTAACTATTTAGGCATTTAAATTGTTAATGTTACAATAGTAGCACTGATGCTACAATCGTAACACAATCTCACCTTCATCATTGTCGCTGTCAAAGCAACCATAACCACCATCATTACCACCTTGTCGCCACCTATAGCATCGTTGTTGCCGCCACCGCCATCACCCCACCTCCGCCATCATCATCATCCCATCTCCACTACCACCATTACCACCTTTGCTACCTTCAAATCTTGCTCGCAAGATTTATTTTCACATATCCTTTTTAATAATTTTATACATAAAAAGTACTTTTTAATTTTAATGTCCAAACAATATATTTAGTTAAAACTGTTTTTGATGTACTACATAAAAAATATAAAATATATCTAACTTTTAAAAAAATCATTCCAAAATAAGCAGGACATAAGATGTCATTGTTTCAAAAATTCATCCAAACGGACCTTAACTTAAGGTGGCACTTGGAGGATGCATAAAACTTGTGTGAGGAGGAAGATGTGGTGAATATGAAGATGGATTATTGGGGCAATGGTGTGGGTATAAAATATCTTCAACACTAAGATTGAGTACATCATTTGCTAATATCATGTAATTCCAATTTTATATATTGATCTTCACTTAATATTTAAATTTTTTGGTTGAATTAGATCTTTACATGATTTTAGTAAGATTTGTGACTCAGTGATCATGAGTTTGATCTTTACCAGCTATATTTTATCAATAAGTGATTGAATATTTAGGAATCTTATAATACGTTTAGGTGAAATTACATTATTTAAACCCAATAAACTCTTCTCGATCTTGTGTGAGAGGGCATAATGGAAAATTAAAATGTAAAATATGCTCCGTGTGAATTGTTGCGGGTTAGGAAAAATATAAAAAATAAATTTAATCATGTTAAAAGACCCGTATGTGCTATTATGTGACACTTAATAAATTAAAAACATCACATAGTCAAACATCTTTAATTAGCTGATACCATATACACCGTATCATCTTCATTCTATTTTTGATTTTGATGTAACCAAATATTGTTTCTTTTAAAAGATGCCACGTGGGTAAATACCACTTCATGTGATACTATAACATGTGGCATAAAATTTAAATAAATATTTTTTATCAGTGGACATTGGTGCCACGTGAATAAGATGTGTTTAGTGAGTGACTGTTCACTTTTCCACGAGGTAAAAATTATCTAAAATCGATAAAGAAGAAGTTTAAAGTTTACTACAATTTAACATGCAGTTTATAATATTTTTCTAGTTTGTTCACAAAGTAAAATAAAAAAATCTCTCATTCACTATATGAATTCTCAATAATATTTTTCTATTGGGATCCAACGACAAGAAAGGATATGCTGACTCCTCAAACAAAAACCCCATCTACTATAAAAAATTTGCAAAATCCATCTTGGATGGAGGACTTTGTCTTATCATAACGAGGAACTGCATGCATTGACATGACACATCTATAATTACTAATTAATTTCTTTGGGCAGTGTTTGGTTCAGGTTTAATTTTGGATCCCCATCCATCTGATGTTGACATTCTATGTTGCCAACGTTTGGTAGCAGAGTCACAAAAACTTACCCACCAAAATGTTTTCCCCAGCCTTTCTGATTTGCATGTAAAAAAGAAAATTTTGCACTATTGAAGAAAGTCATTTGCGAAGTGATAATCCAAGAAAACTAGGGAAATGAAAAAAGTTGAATAAAAAATATAACTTATTTACCCTTTTCTGACTACATCCATGCAATCTAACCCTCAACTACAAGCACCCAAAGTACATCTCTGAAATAGCAAATGAAATCAGCGAAAAGCATGACTGAATATCTGCTTCGATGGTTGTGTTTGGTGCTGAGGTCACAAAACTGAAACTTGGTTTTCATTCATAGTTTCACTCCAATTGTGAAAATCTGATTTGATGGTTCTTTTGAGCTCACTATAAAAAAACTTGAGAACACAAGATATGTATGTGCAGAGAGAAAAGAGACGCAGAGAGAAAGAGACTCGT